ACTAAAAAACCCCAAATCATCATGAAAACTGATACTATATTCACAGTAGGAAAGACAAAGAAATGATGAGAAGCAGCTTTGTAATCTCATTGCCAATATTGCTAATTCTTAACTGTTCTGTAGGAAAAATACTGAGTTTCAAACTTACTGTATTGTTTCTTCTATTGTTATCTTCTGTTGTTCTTCTATTGTTATCTTGTTATCTTTTGTTATCTATTGTTATCTTACCCTTAATGAATTTGGAAAATCAAACAGAATAGAGAGTCAGGAAAAGTTTAGTAAATCAATTTTTATTTTTTCCCTGGAAGTGACCCTACTATGTATCTACATTAGTACAAAGCTTTTGAAAATGTTCATTATTATTTTTCAGTAAGAAATCTGCCTAAACTGGTGTAACTGCTTTTCTTAATTCTTATTTGATGTTGCTTGTCTAATTTGTGAGAGCATTTTCCTTTGTAGTTAGTAGTAGCTGTTGTCAACAGTGGATATATGTCATCTTCTGTGTCTCTAATATCAGAGGAAATATTATTACATGGGAGCAATGAGTTCATGAGCAAAGGAGGGTATTCTGGGCACAATTGCTTATGTTTCTACTGCTTTGGCTTATCTGCTTTTCCATTGCTGTCTGTGATTTTCTTAGTCTTTGATTCTGAGTCATGTTCATCAGTCTGTCATTAGTTGTTCTTCAAACCCTTGCCAACATCTGCTTACCTGCACTGTCTCCTGTTCTTAGGAGTTATATTACTTTATAGTTACTTTTTGGGAGGGCTCTTTTTAAGGTAAAGGAAAGACAAATTAAAACAAATTCTTCAAATTGAAAAGTCTGAACATTTCTTTTAAAATGAGACAAAAAGCCACAGCTTCTTGGAGGGTTCAGGTTTTGTAAAGAGAGTGTGCAACAATAGGAGGATATAGCCTGTGAGGAGGTTTAGATACAGCAGTGAAGAGCAGGTAGAAAAGAGGCCTCGGAATGAATGAGAACAGGTGAGACTGAATTCAGAAAAATTGACCAAGTTGGAAGGAAGCAAGGAGCTATTTACTGGCTTGTGGTTGGCAAGGGCAGAATTGAATGAGTTTTTAAATTTTAGTTCTTTCTTTGACTCTTGCCTATTTAGGAAGTTAGACTTCTAGGTCTTAACATAAAATTAACCTCCTTTATTTTTAAAGTATTGTGATATGTATGAGGGCTTTCCATAAAGAGACATTGAGCTGTAATCTCAAATATTTGGCTTCCTTGGGATCATTCAAATATTTTAAACAATGAATTAATCAATACCAGTCCATTTCTTGTGACCATTGAACTGTTTCAGACATTTGTGACTGATGCTTATGTACACCCTGATTGAGAAAATTTGTGTGTCTTAATTTTTATCGTCCTTATAAATGTCAGTGAAAGATGTTGCTCTGATAGTTCTAGCATTTCTAGAAATGCAAGTAAATATAGGTATAGGCTTATGGTCACTCCATCACAACTCATGTAGGGGCTATCTCCTAAAGATAACAGGGGTTTTTTACTTTTCTGTGGTTGTTTATCTCTAGACTTTGCCTACTTGAGGACCAAAGTGTCAAGTTGGGCAGTTTCTGTCTTTGTTGTTTTTCCTAGTATATCTTAAATTTATCTGAAATATATATATATACCTGAGGAGAAACAGAACACTTTAGGGGTTTAATAGGAATCTTAGTTATGCTTCTGAAACTCATTCCCAGTTGTAATATCTGATATACTGTTGTTTACTTGTTTTATGTGTTGTGTTTTTTGTGTTTTGGTTGATATTTTTCTCTCATGCACCTACTGCCTACAAGAGTGCACTGGGAAGTTACTTTAAAACTTTTAAGTGATGTATCAGTAGTCTCTATAACATTTCTAGAATAACAGTCCAATTTAAATTAGATTTGTGTTTTCAAATCCTTTAAATCCATTAGAAAGTTCACAACTTAGAACCACTTGATTTTAAGTGGGAAACACTTCTGTATGTTACTGCATTGAGCAATTAGTTTTGCTTTGGCCAAAAAAACTTCTCAAAAAATTGTGCGTAGGTAATAGTATTACGGATAATATCTGCTAGTGTGATTGCTTGGTAACTCTTTGGTGTTTATCAAAGCATGAAGCACACCTGTATTTTTGTAAATGGTACTCAAATTTTTAAGTTTCCAAATGATTTATTTATAATGCTAGTATATGACGACTATTTAAGGGTATAATTGCTTCATTGAAAATTGCACAGAGTTCGTTTCTTGTTGGGTGGACGTCATGGAGAGTTTAAATTTCTGCCTCCTGCTGGCTATGCTCCCTGTTATGAAGCATTGCTTCCAAAAGAGAAGATGAAACTGGAACCAGTGAAAGAATATAAAAGAGATTTTGAAGGAGTAAGGGATTTGCTGGGTACAACACAATTCCTCTCTCAAGCTTCCTTTATCCCTTGTCCTATAGACACCAGTCAGGTATGTAAAGTTTGCAATAGTGAGACTTTGAAATATATCTGTACAAAATTTAAATTCGCAATATGAAAACTAAGGTGGCTTCCCCCTTTCTTAGCAATTGTTCATTTTTGTGTTGTGTACTAACTGAGCTAGATGATCTTGGATATACAAGGTGTGGTAACTGGAACCTTTTTTTCTGGAATTGTTATGCTCTTTCCTTAGATTGCTCTTCCTTTTCATCTTGAAAAGATCAGGGACAAACTAGCTGAAAATATCCATGAACTGTGGGGGATGAATAAAATAGAACTGGGATGGACATATGGCAAGGTATGTTTTGAATGTCATGTCTGGGTACGGTCAGCTGTATTAGGTTAAGCTTCCTCCCAGAAAACCTGGACCTGGAAGTTGGTGGTCTATACATTACCAACAATAGGTGAGTATGTAAGCTGGAAGGAGACAGTGATATTAACTTTTGTGTGGCTTTTGTAAACATTCAAATTCCTCAAAACTGTTTTGTTACTTAATTCGTTATGTAGAGGTGTTTTTAGTGTGCATTATAAATGAACTGTGGGAAAGTAGATTTATATAGCAATGGATACCTCTCATTGAACAAAGAGAAACGTTATTGCTTATAATGTCTTCATTGTTGCAATTGTGATTCTTGATTGTGATATCAGAGTGTTCTGTTACTTTGTTACAGATACGGGATGATAATAAAAGGCATCATCCTTGTCTTGTGGAATTCTCAAAATTACCTGAGACGGAGAAGAATTATAACCTACAAATGTCAACTGAAACCCTCAAGTGAGCTTTAAATATAAAATAAACTAAGCTTGTATATTATTTTATTTTTATTCGAGCACTTCATGTTATTGTAAGATATAAAACTCTTTAGAATATCTTGCTCAAAGGGTGTTCTGCTAACTTTGCTAAAAGTTCCAGGAATACATTCAGAATGATTAAGAAAAACTTTGTCTCTACAGAAATACGAAGTAAAAAGCACCACCCTCTCAAACCACAGATTTGTGCCTTTTTAGACTTTGAAGGGATTATTTATTATTTCTGATAAGTTAAAATATTTGGGTTTTGAAATTCCATTATTTTGATTTATTTCTCTGTTTTTGAAGTATCATTTCTTTTGTGTATTTATTCTTAAAATATAGTTATTTATAAAATGTGTGAGCACTAAAATATTGTGTTTCATTAATGCCATTTTTTGTGTTGGCAGAACCCTTTTGGCCCTTGGATGTCACATTGTTCATGCTCATCCAGCAGCTGAGGAAGATCTTAAAAAAGTCAAACTTCCAAAAAAGTATGTACCTTATAATAACTGTTACATATTATAATGTATTATTCTGAATATAAAATATTTAATGTAATTTAAAAAATACTTGTTATGAATCCCATACCTGATATGGTCGTAGAGATCACACAGGCCATTACCTTGCCTGTGATGATGGTTGACTGTGAATACTCCTGTGCCACATCAGCTCATGAAGTTATTCACACAGAAACATTCACATACTTAAACTGCATGCAATTGTATCTGTGTTACATGATCTTAAAATAGATACTCCAAAGTTAAAAGCTACATTTCAGTGCTTTTCTATCTCATAGAAAATAACAGTATATGTGTATGACAGTTAATTGATCTACTTTAAAAAGAGTATACTGTTTTCCCATAACTCCTGTTTCAGTTTGCACCTCTCCTTCCCTTCACTCCAAAAAGAAGGTTGGTTTGTTCAACAGACACACATTTACAGGAACATTATTGATATACTTCTTTAAAGAGAGGAAAATTTAGAAAATCACCATTCTTATAATATGAATGTTTCTAGGAAATGTAAATATGTAGATTATTGCATAAAATATGATTGGAGTTTTACTTTATTCTTTGTTTGATAGCTATACTATGACAGATCTAAAAGAGCTGAATTTTATTTTTTATTTTGTCTTGTTTAAGAAGATTAATCAAGAATTACATCTGTATTTTGGTGTTGACTGTGGGGATTCTGTAGTCCTCCTAGGACAGATTAAAGCCTTGTTGTGCAACAAAACTTGAAGACAGAAACAGTGATTTAGATCATTGCCATTTAACATCAGCTTATCAACACACAAGATGGTTTTTTTTTTCCCCTGAAACAGCTTTATCCATGAGAAACAAAGTTAGATTTTTAAAGAGAACAGTAAAATACATAGTTTTGTGATACGGGAGATGGTAGTCTTGATCCTGTTGATGACATAAATTTAGAAAAGCAAAAAAGAACTTTTCCCAGGGTTCATACTGCAGACAGTCGGTTATAGTACTGGTTTGATACTATTGTCTTGTTAAAATATATACTTCTTATGTGAATCATCCTAACTAATGTCAATGATCTGATTTGAGAAAAGGAAGGTCTGCATATGTCTAAAAGAGCAAGGTAACCTTTATACAATGAAGAGGGATTGGAGAAGGTAATAGTACTGCTAAAAAAAGTTAAACTTATTATTCAAAGAAAAAGTGGTAAGAACAATAGTTAAAATACGTTTTCCTCTGTTGGAAAAATGATAATGCAATCTTTACAGACTAGTGAATTAAAAATACGATATTTAATAATGCATAAAAATGGTTTCATAAGAAATCATCATGCAAATCTTTAAAATAGAAACTGCTTCAAAGGTTTAAATGACAAATAAGAAAATACATATAAAAAGTACTCAATAACAGTTTTATTGTTTTGTAGCAACCATTTAGGCATGCACATATGGATCTGAGTCATATGTAATTAGCTATCATGCAAGTAGGTGGAAAATGAGATTGTCTGCTAGAACCCAATTTATACTCTAGTCAATGACCAAATGCAATGCAGGATTTTTTTGCAAAGAAATGGGAGAGCAGGAGATTGAAAAGTGGAAAGACAGAGTGAACCATACCCTATGAATGCTGCATTGAAAGATTTAAGTGCCATCACTCGAATATCTTGACTCTTTTTTTTGCTTTGTTGATTTATAGTTATATGATGTCAAATGGATATAAACCTGCCCCTCTCGATCTTTCTGAAGTGAAACTGTTGCCTTCTCAAGAATTTCTAGTTGACAAACTAGCAGAAAATGCACATAACGTTTGGGCAAAAGACAGAATAAAGCAAGGATGGACCTATGGCCTTCAGCAGGTAGGGACTTTTTTAGATGTATTTGGAATAAGTAAAACATGTGAGATTTTGTGCTCTAGAACATCAGTTGGGAGGGAGTGTTAATTAAGAGGATAAATGCTGAATGGTGTGTAATATCTGGAAAAGTTATAGAGGGTGGGGAGCAGGAAAAGAAGCCTTGCCCATGCAAGTCTTAGTAGATTGTCAAACTGTTTGGTGTCAGCTGCAGAATGTATGAAAATATATGTCCATAGTTCTCTTTCATTTAGGTTTTTACTGTTATTATCAACTGAGCTTGCATTCATAAAAAATATTCCTCATCAATGTTGTTTCTCTTCTGTAATGATTTCAGAGTACACTCCGTCTTGTTATACAAAGTCTTTGTGATGTTTAAATAGAGTTTTCTTGTTCTCTTTTATAACCCCTTTAGGATCTTAAGAGCAAACGTAATCCTCGGCTAGTGCCATATGCATTATTAGATGAACGTACTAAAAAATCAAACAGAGATAGTCTCCGTGAAGCTATTAGAACATTTGCAGGCTATGGTTATAATATTGAGCCACCTGACCAAGAGATAGGTATGTACTTTTAGTAAGAATTATGGCCCTTTTTTCTACCACAGTGCTGGGGAAAAAACATAAACCTGAAACAAATAGGGAAAACAGAAAGTATTCATTGATATGAGTGTATTTTTGCAGGGAACCGTTAATGAAAGCTGCAAGCATAATTTATAAATTACTTGTGTATTACTTAGTTGTTTGGGTTTTTTTAAAGATTGGTTGTAGTTAATGATATCATAATTGTAATTTTCATGATTTTTGGACTGGAGGAAATCTGGAGTGAGTGGACATTGATTTTCATTTGGAAATAATGGAAGAAAGAAAATAATATAGGTCCTTTTTTTTTTGCATCAAAATCAAATTCTATACCACTAATTTTTGACAAAAATCCAAAATGAAACAAACTTATTTGATTTTTTTTTTAATGTTCTAAATGTATTGACTTGTGTAGGAAAATATTTTGTTGTATTATAATACAGCATTGTAGCATTGACTTGTATTGCATGTAGTAATCTTACACTTCTGAGGTCTCTCTCCTCAGTTTTGTGTCTGAAGCTCTGCATTCAGTGATATTTTGAAATATTCTGATTCTAAATAGCAGGTAATTGCTCATCCTGTATAGAATTAGAATATGCTAGCCTCTGCATGCTGATTACTGTTACTCCTTTTCTAATGTTTGCTGTGAAGGTCCTTAAACATGCAATGGTAGATAATAGCTCTTTTCATGAGTTAGAAAATATTGGGGATAGATGAAAAGCAGTGGCATTTATAGTTTCATTTTATTGTTAAAAATGTTGAGGCTTTTTCTCTCTCTCTATTTTTACAGCTGACCAAACAGTGGAAAAAGTCAGCATTGACAAGATACGTTTTTTCAGAGTAGAACAGTCTTATGCTGTGAAGTCTGGAAAGTGGTACTTTGAATTTGATGCTGTGACAGGTGGAGATATGCGTGTTGGCTGGGCCAGGCCAGGCTGTCGACCTGACATAGAGCTGGGAGCTGATGACCAAGCATTTGTATTTGAAGGAAGCAAAGTCAGTACACCTTTACCTTCTTTTGATCTATGGAGAGGCTAGACAGAGAACTACATATAGGTTTCCTCTGTATACTCCAGATCAACTACTGGAGTATTTTTGATTCATATAAAGATATCTCTCAGCTCTGTTTCATGCTGGATAGTATCTGCATTTTGGTTCTGGTCATTGAAATTACGCTAGGAAAGATGTGTTGCGTTATATGTATCTAAGTTATACCCAGCTAAGTAAAGGTGTCTGTCATAAGCATCAACAAAATACAGAATTCACTTCCATTTATTTGTAAGTATTGATTTACAGAAATTAAACGAATGGTTCTTCAATGATTGGGAGAGAGAACTACACTTCTGTTTTCTCTTTTCTGTCTTTTCTGCTTTCTGCATGCTCTTTCTACCCAAGCTTAACTCCCAAAGGACCAGGAGGATGATAATGACACTGCATGTGACAAGTGGTATCCAGTGAACAGTAGTTAGTATCCAGATTCTAAATTGCTGAAGTTAGGGTGTCTCTATTATCTCAAAGACAAAAGCCATGATCAGTACTGTTTGCAAATTACTTCAGGATCCTGGAAGTGAAATATTTGGGTTTATTTATTTATCTTGTATTTAATTTTTAATATTAGCACCGTGTTTATTTACTTGCTTTTGCCTTTAGGGCCAACGTTGGCATCAAGGCAGTGGATTCTTTGGAAGAAGCTGGCAACCAGGAGATGTGGTTGGTTGTATGATAAACTTGGATGACAAATCAATGATCTTTACTCTGAATGGAGAGTTGCTTATAACCAGTAAAGGTTCAGAACTTGCATTTGCTGACTTTGGAATAGAAAATGGTAATTTCCTTTTTAATGTCACGGTTATGAGAAGATAAAACAGAACAAGAACCAGAAAATCAAGTCTGTCATAATGACTCAGTGAGCTGAGAAATCATGTTTCAGTGATGTGAGCCTTCAGACTGTGCCACATCTTAACTTAATCAAAATTTATTTCAAGAGTGCTTATATGGCACAAATAGATTTTTTTTCCTTTAACCACAAGTAGATATTAATGGGATTTTAGCAGTCAGAATGGGTAAATTTTCTTCAAGCCTTAGTAGGCTTACTCTCAGGACTGAACTTGAGTGCTAAGTGGTAATAATAAGCATCTTGAAAAATTCCCACAAGGTGAAAATTTAGTCTCAGATTATCTCACTGGAGCATAAAACATATTATATTCATGTCTGTGAAGGATAAAATGAGTACTATGTGGTGAGAGCCTGCACCAAAAGAACAAATATTTGCAACTTAAATTGAATCTGATTTGTAATTTTTTTTCTCTGTCCTATTTAGAGATCTTTCTCCTTTTTGTGGGATATTTTTTCTTTTCCATTTTTGGCCTTTGCTTTTTCAAACAATAGTATATACTGACTGTATTAAAGGAGGCAAGTAATATTTTCAAATTATTTTGCTTTATATTTTAGTTGACATTTTCTTTGTAAGGGTACCTCTTCCAACCAGTGCAGCTTCACACCTGTTAGCAATTGCCTGAGGACTCTACAGTTGCTCACTGTCCCTCTTTGTTCTTACCATAGAGAATAAGGGTCTGCCTTAACTAAGCTGTTCTGAAGACTTGCAGTTCAAGTGTAGGAGAGAAAAATTCTCCTTGAGGGGTTGAACAGTTGGCTTTTCCTGAATGTTACTCCAAGTTCTGTTTCTTGAGAAATGGAGAAATTATTGAACAGCCTTTCATCTCTGTCTATTGGCTGGTACAGTTATATGGAGACCAAAAATTTGAGTAATAAAAAATGTTAGCATTTAAGAAGTGTATATTTGTCCATCATGAATGATGGAGGAATGATGTTTGGCAACAAATTTATAGCTACTGATGACAAACTAAATTTTAAACAAATGTACTGAGATACCTGAACCTCATCTCAAAGTCCTTTTGAAACTTTGGTGCCCTCAGAGAGAATACTTAACATTTGTTGATAACCTTGATCTTGCCAGGGTTGGCATCCAGTGTCCAACTCATTGTATAAAACCATGTTTATTAGTCTAAAAATGAGGAAGATAGCAGATTATTTCAATAAATGAATCACCATCTTCAGCAAATATTCTCAAATACGATTGTCCACAAAACTAACTCTTGACTTGGCATTTTTTGGCTTTTTTCATACAGTCTGCTACTACTTCCTAAGAACAATTGTTTAAATGTGTTGAATATTTAAATAAATGGCCTAAATCCTCAGGGGTTTTGTCAGCAATTATATTAAAGTGGTTTTAAATCCTTGCTACTGTCATCACTTCATGTGCATTACTTGTAGGAGCTAAAATTTAGTCAACATTGGATAGATCCAAGATAAAGAATGTTTGTGTTGTTAAACTAAATTGTTGGGGTGTTTTGTTGTTGTTATATCATTTCTTTAGGTTTTGTTCCAATTTGTGCACTGGGGCTATCTCAAATTGGTCGTATGAACCTTGGAATGGACGCCAGTACATTCAAGTACTATACAATGTGTGGCCTTCAAGAAGGTTTTGAACCTTTTGCTGTCAACATGAACCGAGATGTTGCTATGTGGTTTAGTAAACGTTTACCAACATTTGTCAATGTGCCAAAAAATCATCCTCACATCAAGGTAACATTACATGGTGGGGAGACACCTGTTTAACAACTGTTTGTTTAGCAAGCTGAAATGTTAAACCCTTACTAATACTTACTGTCATCAGATTGTTTGTCATATAAATCTATTAAGTCACTCTTAGATAATTCCAGATGATTTTGCCTATCTTCAGTTTCATTTATGGTAATATGGATTCCTATGGATATGCCTATCTGTTCTATTATATTTCTCACTTATTTATGTTGTGGTTTGCTACTGGAAACATGCCAGTTATGATTTTTTTTATATTCTGTCTTAGATGTGCTTATTTTTTAAATCTTTTCTACTATACATTTTCATCTGAAGGATTCTAGTTGATAATTCTTATCATTGTGGTAGAAAACTACTGATTCTTGTGAAGCAATTTTTCAATGACTTGTGCACTTAAAGTGAATTAGTTTAATAAAATGTGTATGCTTTTTTTTTAATGCTGTATGGAACAACTTGAAAATATTTTATGTAGTCAGGATATACTAAATCTGTTGCTTCACTTGCTCTTCAAGTTAGATTCAGTGTCAGAGAAGAAAGTTGCATGGTTTTGAAGTGAATTAATTTTGAAAAATTTAAGTTCACGCTTTCAGTTTTCTCATCCTTTGGTTGCTTAATGAAACTTGTCAGCATTTTCTTTGCTTACTATTGTTTTAAAATTATTTCTGTTATTTTTAGATATGGAGAATTGATGGAACCATTGAGAGTCCACCTCGGTTAAAGGTTACTCACAAAACATTTGGCACACAGAGCAGCAATTCAGACATGATATATTGCCGTTTGAGTATGCCCATTGAATTCCACTCATCATTCAATTTCGGCATGGGTGTTGAAAACACCTCATCTGATGTTTTCCAAAAACGGTTAGGCTTGGGTTCCTACTTCATGCTTTCATTGTAAATGTAATATGTTCTATTAGTTTTTTATTATTGCACACTCAAAATTTAATACCTGTTTTTGCACTAAGCACAGGCTAACATAGGATGGGTGTTACCAAGATTTTTCTTGTTCTTCATGGCTTTCATGGATTTATAGCCCACCTTTGCTGCAACATGCTATATCCAGACAAGAGCGAACTGTTTCTGAAGAGGTTAATCATTGCTAAGCAGCTGACATTCTTTCAAAATTATTGGGATTTGCAAGCTCTTCAGCTAGGCTGGAAAACAAGCTTAGAGTCTTTTTCCCACTGGATTAATGCTCATCAACATTATGGCTCAGTAGTTCATTGTATGGAAAAGTGTCTAATTCATGAATAACAGGTTTTTAAAAATACCAGGTACTACTGAGTCTAGAACCTTCCAGTGTTGCCTTCATCTTTACTTAATTGCTGTAAATCTGCCTCTTCTCCCACTGTCTACCTTAACTGCAATCAATTATTTTCTGTGCATATTTCTATCCTGTACAATCTTTGCATAATTAATTTGCTAATGCATACTCAGTACCCAGCAAACATGAGCTAGCTCATAATTATACTTTGTCCAATAATGTGTAATTTATTTAGTACTTTTTTTTAAAAAAAACCTTCTTACTGATTTTCCTTTGCCTGTAGAAAACACAGCCAAGAAATTGCAGTTCCTTCTACTACAGTAAGTAAATGCATTGAGATGCTTAATTCTTCTAATGTTTTGAAGTAGATTTAGTTGTGGCAGCATGTTCATTAGAAATTGATCTGTCAAAAGAAACTTTTAAGATAATTTATTATGATATAACATTGTCGATTAATAATGATGCCCAAGTTGCATGACTTGAAGCATAAGGTATTAGTCTGTTTTCTTAATTAATGAGCATTTAAAATAATTTTTTAAGAGTGTGGGTGACTATTATTAAGGTTTGATATATGAGTTTTGTTTTTTTAAATCATATGAATACTCCTTGATAAAATAATTTAGATTTCTATTATTGATATACTCTTTTCCTCTTTTCAGTATTTTTACTCACTACGGATATTTGCTGGCCAAGACCCATCTTCTGTCTGGGTTGGCTGGGTCACTCCAGACTATCATTTTTACAGTGAGAATTTTGACCTAAATAAAAATTGTACAGTGACAGTAACTTTAGGTGATGAGAGAGGCAGGGTTCATGAAAGGTATGGATTTATTTATCACTTAATAAAGTCCTTATTTTAATACTGTTATTTAAAAATTAATTATTCATGAGTGATTATATTTTGAATATAAATTTAAACACAAGAATATTGATTATGAAGTACTTATATATGAATGTTTTTTACTTAGACTTGTTAAAATGCATATATTTATTCTTACTGTTTCATTTCAAAGAATGTTTTGTCATGCTTCTTTTATTTAAGATCTGTATTTGCCACTGTGGATGAATGCTTTCCATGCGCACACAGAAGCATTGTGAATTTTTTTCACAATTATAAAAAATAAAAAAATAAAGGTTCATTTATTCTGATCGCTTACCTGCAAGGAATATGTCATGAAAAAAAAGGTTAATGAGCAAACAAAACTAATAGCATAACAGGCACCTTCAAGGATCTCTAACTAAAAGAAAAATCTCCACTGAATACTTCAGTTCAGTGTGACCTGTGCTTTCTTCTCTTTGCTCTTGATGTTCTTTCAGTGTGAAGCGCAGCAACTGCTATATGGTTTGGGGAGGAGATGTAATTGCTAATTCCCAGAGATCAGGTCGCAGTAATGTTGATATAGAAATTGGATGCTTTGTTGACCTGGCTACTGGAATGGTGTCATTCACAGCCAATGGAAAAGAGCTTGGCACTTGTTACCAGGTATTATCACATTTCAGGAAGCTATGTAGTCAGCTGCTTGTTTTGATGCTATTATAAAGTTGTTTTTTCTTTTTCAGAAATCTACCTGATCACTACTTGTGTGATGATAATGTTTACCTATATCATTCTGGTTTATTCCTCTTTTACTCTCTCTTTTGTAAGGCTACACGTTTTGAACTTCTTTCAGTCATTTCAAATGTTGAGAAAGGAATTGGTACATATGTTAAGAAAAATATTTTTTTTTACTTCTCAGTTCATGTACTTCATTATACTTTGAAATATTCTTTGTCAACTGAATCTGTTATGCAATATAGGGGAAAGAAATATTCAAAGTAGTAAAAGGTCAAAATTAAACTTTAAATGTAGCAATTCTTGGTATGAATTGAGAAAATAAATTTAGTTCATTAGTACCAAAGTTTGTGTCTTCTCCAGATAGCTGTGATTTGGACAGCTTGTAATTTGATAAGTTTCAAAACCCAAAATTCAAATATGCATTGATGCACAGAGCCAAAATAAATGGGGTGGACCCTAAATACTATTAATATTCTCAAAACATGGAGTCATCATGCAAATTGGTCAGTAGTTGACAGAAGCTTTCAGCCCCAAATTGTTGAGATTTGGATCAGTTGTTCATAGTAGAGCATCCACTATGGAAGAGTTTGTCCGGTGTAAGAACAATGCGTTCCTTTCTTCTCTGTCAACCCTCTCCACCCACACCACCACCACCCCCTGCCAAATCTGTAATACAGATAAAATGGAAATGTTATTTAACTAAATTTAATGGAACTTTGTATACAGACTCCAGTGAAAATAAATGAGTCAGAGTTGCAGAAAGCCTGGGTGGGAGATTATCTAGTGGCTATGATTTTGATATATTTTATGACAGTGGTCAGAAACTTTAATGCTATGCTGGGAGGATATTGAATGTCAACAACCCTGGGAAAAGAAAGCAGGTGATTAAAGTGCTTAAGCCCTGCTTTGCTGTTTCTCTAACTAGATGCAGGTCAATATGACAGCTTCTGAACAAAGCCATGAAAGTTTGATGTGTTTTTTTGTTATGGTGTTGTTGGTTTTATTCATGGACAGCCTTTAGATGTTCTTCTTATTTAGCAGGGGTGCTAAGAAAATATAGATGTAGAAGATGCCTGTTCCGGAATTTAGTGTAAAAAACAATTTCAGGTTTTCCCTCTTACGACTTTCAATTAACATAACCATTTTCTCTGTACTAAATTTAAAATAATCTCTGAAAATACCATTATTTCTCTCTGCTTCTTCATTTTTTCGTATGTTTTTGGAAGTGTTTTTCAATAAACATGTTAGCACCTTTTCTGTTGAAAAATGAGAATACTCAGCACTTTCTATAGGGATAAAATATCCCTATAGAAAATATTCCAACAGTATTGTTACATCTGAGGGTAAAATATTTCTCAATTTTTGCTTATTTCTCTCTGTTTTAGAAAGTAGTGAAAATAGTGTTATGTAGTTTTCTTTTCTATGTCTTGAATATTTTTGCCATAAGGTAGGGTCTTTAAAATACTTTAATAAATCTAATCTCTCAAGCAAATTGCAGCAAATAAATGATTTTGGTCACATCTGGGTAATTATTCTAGTCTTGTAACTGTTCACACTTTTCAGTTTCCTTAACTAAAATCGAAGGACAAATTTGTATGCTCTTTTCAGTTTAAAAGGCCTACGGGTCAACATATTTAGGAGAAGAAATGAATTTTGTTATAGTTCTTGATCTAACTATTGAATACCACAGTGATATTCAGAAAAAAACATCCCACTGGGAAAGTAAATGGAAGATACTACATACATATATATTTGAGATTTTGTCATTATTTGTTAGGTCAGAGTTAAGGTATTTGTAGCAGAAAGCTCTTAAATATTGTTTTACAAGATGTTTTATTTTACTTTGAGTTAGTAATAGTTTTCTGACCCTCAAACAAGGTTAAAAATTACAAATTCAATTATTATTGCTAGGAAATAATTATCTTGAGTCAGAGGCTGAGAGTTATATTGCCTCAGTTACCTTCAGGCTTTAATGAAACAAAAGACACATTAGTAGTGTCTCCAGTCCAGGATACCTTTTGTTTCTGGATTTGGGTTTGAGTATTTGTACTTAACAAAAAGTTCAGAATGTACATACCTAGCCTGATATTATTTTATTTGTGCCAATACTTATAGTTCTGAAAAGCCTTTATTCTGCGTATAGATTTTTCAGTATACAGTATTATTTTGCATTTTTGAAAAATTATATTTTGCTTTGGAGCTATTTTCTCATCTAAAAGCATGCATATTTTTAAATTTATTTTTTTTTTACTTTCAGTTAATGGTTTTGCAGTTTTCGATAGATTGTTGTCCTCAAAGTTAGGAGTTGCACTCCTTCACAGCATGATTATTGTAGTTGTGCTTGGTATACATAATGTATATACATCGTACACAAAATGCACAATGATGTGATTAATATATTCAAATGAATTCCTGAACTTTGACTTGATTGTATAGAGTATACCTCTTCTCAGCCACTCAGGAGCAGTGATTTTTTTAAAAAATAATATAATATTCTATAATTATCTTTTTACATCTTTATTTCATGGCAGTAATTGTGGGTGATCTTGCAGAGAATTCTTTGGAATATATTGTTCTTCTTACATTGACATGCACTTTGCATCCAGCTATAATGGAGAAAGAAGGATAACGTAGCTGTCACAAAAGTCCCAAACACATCCAGACACTTCTAATCTGTAGCACTGTGATTCAGTGTGATTCACTGCCACTTTGTAAAATGAGAAATGCTAAGCCTGGAAATAGAGAAATCTCTAAAAAAATACATACTTCTACTCTTGGAGTATGGATGAGAAAACCACTAATCTTAATAGGAAACAAAAATATGTGCTATCTTGATCACATGATAAGGTGTTGAATTTGGGTATGTTTAAGAATCAACACAGTGCTACCAAAATTCTTGTTATGGGTATTGAGAGCACACACGGCAACAGACACATCTGCCTGAAAATCAAGTGGTTCTATAACAATAACTGAATGCTTTATCATATTAGAGATAAACTACAGGTAGACAATATTCAACACCTTAATAAATCATCTGCAGTTATTTGATAATGAAGTGTAAACTATATAGTATTTATTTTATAGCGTATTCAGGGAGGAGATTCCTTTTGCCTTTTTAATTTTAAAAAAAGTTTCATCTCATTTCCCTTCTAGGTTGAACCAAACACAAAGCTTTTTCCAGCAACGTTTTTACAACCTACGAGCACTAACCTGGTTCAATTTGAACTTGGTAAATTAAAGGTACAAAACAGTTTTATATTTTGTTGAGAGAGCACCTTTATATAAAGGTTATGATTATTCATATTCATAAATATATATGTTTCCAATATAAACGAAGACTGAATCAATGGTATGAATTTTAATTTGATTTCTACATTTACTTCTGTAAAAGTAATTATTATATACAGTTAATTGTTTATCTGCATTTATCAAAATAAACTAGCATTATTTGGGAAGAACACCATTAATGTTGGGATTTTTTTGGTTTTTGCAATAACTTCTATCTTTCAATGAATTCTTTGTTATTTATATGTTATACTGTCTTTTGGTGGTGGTGGTTATTCATAATTAGATGTTACAAAAATGGTTTTAATACATTTATTTGTTTCAGAATACCATGCCTTTATCAGCAGCTATTTTTAAAAGTGAAGAAAGAAATCCTGTTCCTCAGTGTCCTCCTCGCCTTGATGTGCAAACAATTACACCTGTTTTATGGAGCAGGATGCCAAACAGCTTTCTAAAAGTAGAAACTGAGCGTGTCAGTGAACGTCATGGCTGGGTTGTGCAGTGTTTGGAACCTCTGCAGATGATGGCACTTCATATCCCAGAAGAAAACAGGTATATTTGTAAGGAATTAAACTGGCTTGATGTGGACAAAATGTATTGAAAGCAGATGTCAGAATATTGGTTAAACCTGGAGAATATTTACATGATATTTGTAAAACTTTCTGTAAGACATTGGCTATAGTATCATATTAATGAAATTTTAGTAAATACAAGAGACTGAATAATTTTAATGCCATGTAATGACACTTGCATACATAAGAGAAAATATGACTATTTGATTTTATTTAAATTATAAAATAATAGCTCTTAAATCTCTAGGTCTTTAGAGATTTTTCTCAGCTTGAAAAAAAACCCCAGATATAAAGACCATGCTAGTACTATTTTGCTGATTTTTTTTTCTGAAATAAAAACATGTAATTTTTTTCTGTGTCACCTGCTCTTAAGTTTTTATATTCTTATTGAGAAGATAACATCTTTCTTAGATGTTCATTAGGTTTTATCTTCAGAGTCAGGATAATAAAGATTCAGATATTAATATCACAACTAGTGCCAAATCATACTATATGCAAAAAATAGCAGAAATAGAATAATATTTATATAAATATTTAATAAAATAATTGCTGTAGTTGTATTGATAATTTTTGAACTTCTTTTAATAATTCAATAACCATTTTTATTTATGGTAAATAAAACTGATTTCAAGAAATTTATAAAAAAATACTGTGTCTTGTGAAAAAAAAATGAAACAGTAATCCTGAATAAACTATAAATGCACTGCTTATTGACAGTAGTAATATAGATTTTCAGCATTCCAAATAAATTTATTTTAAAAAGTTCTAATTTACCATAACTTACAAAGAAGCATCTCCATCTTGCATTTTTGCTTTCTTTTTCCTATGGAGCATTAATTTTAAGAAATCTCAACAAATTGTTATCACCATTTACTGTGTTTAGTGTTGCACACACTAAGATTAGTTAGTATCAACCTTAATATTAGTGGTTTAAAGTGGAACACAGCAAAATATGCAAAGATTATAAAAGTTTTCATTTACAGATTTGTTATTCATGGAATTAACTGGTGATCTGTTTCTTTATTTCATAACAGATGCGTTGATATTTTAGAACTATGTGAACAAGAAGATTTGATGAAGTTTCACTACCACACTTTAAAACTCTACAGCTCAGTTAGTGCTCTTGGCAACACTAGAGTTGCTTATGCACTTTGTAGCCATGTGGACATATCTCAGCTCTTTTTTACAATAGATAACCAATACTTACCTGGACTTCTACGTTCTGGATTCTACGACTTGCTCATTAGTATTCATTTGGAGCATGCCAAGCAAGCCAAGCTCATGATGAGCAATGAATTTATCATTCCAGTTACAGACGAAACTCGAACTATAAAATTATATCCCAATGAAACAAAGAAGCATGGTTTACCTGGAGTAGGGCTTAGCACTTGTCTGAAACCAACCTTTAATTTTTCTACTCCATGCTTCATTGTGACCAGTGAAGAACATCAGACATCCAGCCCAGAGATACCCCTTGATACACTTAAATCCAAGGCCATCAGCATGTTAACAGAGGCAGTACAGTGTAGTGGTACTCATATACGAGACCCTGTTGGAGGACAGGTTGCATTCCAGTTTGTTCCTGTTCTTAAACTGATAGCAACATTGCTCATTATGGGTGTTTTTGGTGATGATGATGTAAAACAGGTGTTACTCCTCATTGATCCTACCGTGTTTGGAGATCACAAGGAAGATACAGAAGAGAGGACAGAGAAGGAAGAAGTTACACAAGTTGAAGAAAAAGCTGTAGAAGCTGGGGAGAAAGCAGCAAAACAAACAAAAGCTCCTGCAAAGGGCTTGTTGCAAACAAGATTGCCAGAATCTGTTAAGCTTCAGGTGATCACTTAACATAAATGTATTACTTATGTCATACTCTTGATGAAAAAAGATTGTGCTTTTTATCTGTTCTCTACTTTATAAGATTTGATATTCTGAAGGTCTTTAATTCCACTTTGCCTTATAACATTACATTAATAGCCAAATTTGATGATGCTGCAGTATTTTCTACATGTATCTACACTAAAAATAGATATTTGAACACTTGCTTATTTTGTAAAAGGGGGAGAGTTAGACCAGGTCATCTTTAAAGGACCCTTTCAATCCAAACTAGTCTATGATTTCTATATATTTTGAGTGCATGGAGTGAAAGACTCTGAATGCAATATAGTATTATTGGTCATATAATACAAGTGTAAAGTTTTGTCACTTTTATGGTGCTATAACAAAAACATGGGGAAAAAGTCTCTCATTTTTACAGTCTGCTGCAGTGTATAGTATCTACTGCAGTTCTTTACCAGAGTTTGTAAAACGGTTGAGCTTAAGTCTGTTTTTTCTACCCTAGATGTGTCATTTACTCAATTATTTTTGTGACTGTGAACTACAACATAGAGTGGAAGCAATTGTATCATTTGCAGACCGTTATGTATCAAAATTGCAGTATAACCAGAAATACAGGTACAATGAACTCATGCAAGCATTGAACATGTCTGCTGCCTTGACTGCCAAGAAGACTAAAGAATTTCGGTCTCCTCCTCAAGAACAGGTAATGTTAAACAAATGATTGCGTCTAAAGAATTTTTTTACAAAAAATCATGATAAAATAGAGTCCTGACTTCTAAATTACCATTGGAATTTCTGGAGAACAAAAATGAATTTGAAATAAAATTTATTTCATGCCACAAAATACTGAATGTCAGAATGCTTAGACCTGTACTCCAGAATTCAAGCTCTAACCCAAAGCTGACTTAGGATATCCTAACAGTATAGAAAATTTAAACATTACTGCCTAGTGTTGAGGAGCTGAGATTCATCCAGTTCTGCAAGAATTTAGTCACTAAAAGTTAGCATGAAGTTAATGTTGGGTTGACTTGTGTATGTTGGAAATAGTTTATTCTGCCTCCAGGAAATAACTTTATTATTAAGAATCACTGTATTTTGATGTTAATCATAATTAAAGTTAGAAAGTACCAGTGCTTTACTTTTTTGTATAAACTATACTAGAAATCTATGCTTTAATTTGATTACAAATTTGATTATAAACAGGTAAAGTATGGTTATATATTAGAATATGTCTTAGGCTACCTAAGTGTTTTGACTATGTTTTAATTTCCTTAAAGATTAATATGTTACTGAATTTTCAACTGGGAGAGGATTGTCCCTGTCCAGATGAGATTCGGGATGAGTTATATGAATTTCATGATGATCTTCTAATTCACTGTGGTGAGTTGCAAAGTTTAGATATGGGTTTTGTTTCTCTTTTTAACACTTGACATGAAAAAAGAAAGGATCAGTTAAAAACTATACTAGTGTAAGGGTTTGGGTCTTTTTTGTTAGATATATTACTGTCTACAAGGTGACTTTTTTGACAGATTTTGGTGTATATTTAAAAATATGGGAAATCTCTGCAAGGTTTTAAGTTTCATTGTTATGTACCTATCAAACATTATCCAGTATTGTTCTGTTTATATATCAGTTTTAGATTTAATTGGGAAAAAAATTGTTCCAGACAAGAAGGTTAGCTTACCTTAAAAGATTTACATAACTGCATGTATGACTACAAGATGATATTGAGGAAATAATGTTGCTATGAAGTTGAGCAGTAGAAAATTTAACAAAAACCACTTGATGTGGGGCACTTTGCTTGCTTTGGAATAGTTTCCTGGTGATGGTCAATCATTATAAACCATGGTTGCACTGCAGATTACAGCTTGATCTGCCTGCAGTTACAGATTTTGGATTTCCTGTACAATTTATGTGGGTTTAGTCTATTGAGATCTTAGTCTAATCCCGGAAATTATGGAATTGTCCATTTACAATGTTACTAACATTTACAGTCGGAGTCATACAGTTATTACTGCTTGTTCCCAATAATTACGCAGTTAAAACTGATATACACAAGATTTTTTGTATCTACCTACTTGGTAGATATATTCATAGTTACTCTTGCAGTGCAGTTCTTGGTCCTATGGTTGATGACATCCATATTGTCCAGAAAGAAGGGGTCAAGGTCCTTACATTGAATTGACAGCATCTCAAGCTTTTCCTCTGGAAGAGCAGGGTAATCTTAATAGTTGTTTCCTCCTTGTCCTCCTGTTTACTTGAGGTCACTATTAAATGTTTACTAATACAGTCCGCTAGTTCTTTCCTCACTGGTTATCCCTAAACACAGTGTTACCTGATTCATGGAATTGCATTGGTTTAGTGACCTGTAATTAAGGTTGTGATTTCTGTTTGTAGCCATAGTGCTTCCTATACCATTCTGTGCTTGTATTGTTAAGAATTCTGCTATTGTTTTGTACTGGTCTATCTTAGAATCCCCAGCAACCATCATGCTGTGATTTCACGATAAGCCAATTATAATTTTTCAACTACCTCAGCCTTAGCCTTAGCCAAAGATGAGCCAGTCAGAGGGTGTCTAGGTTGTATATAAGTATCTAAAGGGGAGGTGCCAAGAAGATGGAGCCAGACTCTTCTCAGTGGTGCAAACCAATAAAACGAGGTAATGGACAGAAGCTTATGCACAGGAAGTTCCACCTCAATACACGGAAGAACTTCTTTACTGTGAGAGTCACTGTGCACTGGAACAGATTGCCCAGAGGGTTTGAGGATTTTCCCTCACTGGTGATATTCAAGAATCATCTGGACACAATCCTGTGCCATGATGGTCCTGCTTGAGCAGGGAGGTTGGACCAGATGACCCACTGCGGTCCCTTGCAACCTAATGGATTTTGTGATTCTGTTGTGTTTTATCGTCGTAATTCTGAGGACATTGTATAAGACAGTATTAGAAGTCCTTAAACTCAAGATTTTTATCTGTAATGTTAGTTACATTATAGATGGAAATTTAGTTAGTTTAACACTATTTGGTTAAACACACAAACCTGTGTGAATTGTTCTTCATCCTTCCTTCTGAGTGCTTACTAGAAACTGCTTCTTTCATTCCATCATTTTTCTTCCAAGTGTTTAAGTGAATAGATAATATCCTCCTAGTTACTCTTCTTTCTCCCCACTTTTATTACATCTATCATGATACAAGATTACAGTCATCTCCATTGTTCAGTTACTTAGCAATTTGATCTGAACTCTGGTTTTCAAAGATAATGCATATCTGGCAGCAGAGAGTTCTCTGAGACTTCAGGATGGAGATTATGAAAAACCTACAACTTAGAAATGTCAACTCTGCAATATATTTGTTTTAACTTGAGATCTTGTGGCTGGTATGGTCATCGAGTTTGTTTAGTTCCTGATCACTCTTTTCGTGAGGTAAAACACTGCTTACTGTGGGTTTTGTGTTGGATTTTTGTTTATTTGGTTGGTTTTGTGTGGGGTTTGTTTGGGGTTTTTTTCCTCTTGTTTTTAGGGATGTAATTTTATCATTTTACTACATTATAAACATGTATGTTGAATGAAAGAGAGTTAAAGATAAGCAGTGTCTCACAATTAAAATAGTTTAATGATCCTCTAGACTCTAAACAAAACCATATCGATTACTTTGTACAGATTTATTGTGGGTGGTCACTGCAAATACATGCTCCTCACTATCTGTGTCCTGACTTAGTCCTGAAAATCAGTATTCAGCATTCACAGCTGCAGATAAAATGAATAGGAGTTCTGCTTGGAATGTTTAATGAGATTTTTAGTACTAAGTATACTTTGCCATCTAAGTGGAAAAATATGTATGCAATCAAGTAATTAAGGGTTTCTTCATAATGAATATAAGCAAATAGTTTGAATTGCTCAGGCAGTCTTTATCCTAGCATGTCCTAACTGTGAGTGGTTAATTTTGCCAGCAAAATAATAGCCCACTGTCATCGTTTTTATATGCAATTTCTTGGTTATTAAAAAACCAAACAAATTTACAGCGTTTTATTGCATAATGTCAAACTGGCACTTATCTGGGTTGGAACCATCTGTACCAGTGCACAGACCTCTGCCACTTGAATTAAGGGAGTAACCAGTAGCAACATGAGATGGTCAGGTTCTGAATGGATTGGAAGTCTAAGAGGAAGTGGAATGAATAATTAATGATATGAAACAGTGAATAAGACTTCATCTGGAGCAGTAACAGACCCCATCTCCTCTAGTCCAACACTCTTAACTCATCATCCCAGTGCATTTCTTCTTGTTTGTCCATTCCAACTTCTCAAGAATTCTCCCAGTGTCTCCCTCCTGTGTCCAGGACCTAGCTTTTATTTCAATGCCAGAAAGTTTATTTCTTTAATATCATTGTCTGCTTTCTCTTTCCTCTCATTACTGGCTACATTTCCTGTTACTGCTTTTTCCAGACTGGCCTTAACTTTCCTTCATTCATAGCTTTTCATTTTCCCTGGCCAGTTTCACTTATCCCATTTGTTAAATTCCATATTTACTCTCCAGTTTCAATTTTGAGTTCTTTAATTTCCTCCCACTGCCTCTGAATTTTGTCTTCCTGTCACTTAGTTACTCCTAGTCATGATTTCAATCCCTTCCACTTGGTAGCTGCCAGCAGCAAACTTTCTCCAACTTGATACCTCATTTCAGTTCTATTTTTCTTTCTCGTTTTAATTTTTTAAGTACCAGTTTTAGCCTCTGCATTTTATTCTTTTTTCCTCTGCTTCAGGTTGTGTTTCAAGTATCCTGTCTTGAAAACTTCATTTTATCATTATCACTTTGACAAGCAGCCAAACTGCAAAAGCTTACATTTTAGCTTGGCACAATTAGCTCTGATCTGAAGGGAGACTGTTTAGATGTTCTTTGCTTCTAAATGTAATATATGTGATATCTGATCATCACTAAGAGGTGTGAAAGGCTTTGAATCATTGTGAAGCAGTAGAGTGAGCTGAACTGTATTAAACTACGTTGTAAAATGACATCTCATTATACACATTTTCATGGAAAGGATATATCAACCATATAATCTCTGGACATCTGCCTTCTTACAGCTTTAAATTCAGTTAATATGTTTATGACTGCTAAATATGTCAACTGCAAAAATTGTACTATATTGTAAGATATAGCCATACATTCCTTTCTTTAGCTTACATTCTGCAATGTGAACCAAAGGATCACATATTTAATCAAATATGACTCTGAGTAATATAGCCGTAAAATAGTAGAATCTTAGAAAAGTATCACCTCTTTGGTGATAATACTGAAAGAAAAAAACTATAAATCTGGATATAAGATGTATGTGTACTGAAAGTACCATACTTTGAGGGGTGCTATTGTAGCTAAGATGTTAAAGCTGCTAGCCTTACTGCTTTCTTTGTTCCTGTATGAAATTTGCTGGTTAAAAAAAATATTTCTATAGATATTCTGGCATTGCTAAAATATTAAGGGAGTTAATCTTCTAAGATTAAGTTTTTTGTCTAACCAGTTTTATTACCTGCTAAGGTATTCCACTAGAAGAAGAGGAAGAGGAAGAGGAAGATTCTTCCTTGACTGGCAAACTCCGTTCATTAATGTACAAAATCAAAGGTCCACCAAAAGCAGAAAAAGTGGAGCCTAAGGAGGAAGAAGAGAAATCTCCTAGTAAGTTTTCTTACTTCCATACATCAGTGATGCAAGTCATGACACAGTCAAGTGGAGTCTATTTTCTAAGAAAATTTTATAGTGGGCTGAAGAAGGAGACTATCTGTTTAAGTTTCTTCTGCCTCTTCAAATGATTATCCTGGATGCTGAACATCTCACATGCATTGTTAAACAAGAAGTTAAAATGAGTGGAAGATTATGAATCCAGATTATTAACTGTGGGGTCAAAAATTTGCATATTCCTTACAAAGAACTGTAAGAAGTTAATTATGGCACATTAATATAGACTCAAGCATTCTAAATTTGGGAAGTTTTAATTTTTGTGGTTTGGATTTTTTCAGCTGAAAAAGTTCTTTACAACTTATCTCCATTTCATCTTTCCCTTGCTGCATGAGAATTTGTATGCATACCCGTACCAAGATATATGTGGCAAAACAATTTTACAGTTCTCTTTTTCTTTTTTTTTTTTTAAAAAGGAATGGCTTTCACCTTCATTTGATGTTGCTGAATATATACATTCATTGAAAACTAATGGCTTGTTCGGATTTATCTCAAACATCACATACATGCACACACATATCTCTCCATATTGTATCCTTTCTGAAAGTAAAGTAGTATTGAATCTATTTGAATAATTACACAGAAGAAACATCTCTATTTTCACAAGTAAAAATTCTGTATTCATAAATGCTCGAGATAACAGAATTTTCCAGAATTTAGTATTGTAGTTTTTATTCTGCTTTTGGCTTCCATAAATCTTTGACATTCAACTAATATCAGAGGGCAGAGAAAAATACTTGTCCAGATATCCAGATATTTTGCCTAAAAACTTTTATCTATAGCTTGTATATCTCATTGCCCTTTACAATGAGCATTTATGTTGCTTGAATATATGTGACAAGTGACACCATTTAGCAGAAATTTTTTCACCATTCCTTTCTGTAGCAGAATATTATACAGGAGGACTGGTATATGTCTGTGTATTTGCCAGGTCATATTAAGCTATTAACATTTCATAAAAATAGAAAAGTCTGTGTATAGGTTTTGAAACTAATGAGATGAAAGACAATTTAATACACAGACCTATAAATACATATGGGAGAGAGCATATGACATCACTGGAAAAAGTCCTTCCACTTAGTATGGCTGAGTAACCACAACAGAGAACTGAGATTTACTGTTGAAACAATACAATCATGTATTTAAAGTTAACTGGTGTAATGGTGTTTAAGAGTAAAACAATAGATAGTTGTTATTCCTTTGTTTCCAGAGTTGCAATTCCCTGTGGTGGTGATTCAGACCAGCTGAGGCTGGAAGAGACCTCTGCAGGACATGTAGACTAGCCTCCCTGCTCAAACAGGGCTACCTAGCACAGGTTACCCAAGACCATGGCCAAATGGCTTTTGAATATCTCCAAGGATAGAGACTCCACAACCTCCTTGGTCAATGTGTGTCACTGTTCAGTGACCCTTGCCGTAAAAGTGTCTCCATTTGTTCACATGGACCCTCCTGTGTTTCATTTTGTGCCTTCCTAACATCCAAACTAAACCTACTCTCAGTTTAAAGTTACTCCCCTTTGTCCTGTCACTACATCCCCTCCATCTCTCTTGTAGGCTCCCTTCAGGTACTGGAAGGCTGCAATTAAGTCACTCCAGAGCCTTTTCTTCCCCAGACTGAACAATCCCAATTCTCTTAGCCCTTCTCTTGTCCAATATACATTGATGAGATTGCTCCTGAACCTTCTCTAGGCCAAACAGTCCAAGCCCTCTTTTGGTTAAAACTTAGCAGATAGGTTGATGGGCTTTATTTTTCCTAGAAAAGCCCTGATACACTACATGTTGCAAGACACTGTGAAGGTTTGTTGCACTTGATTCAGAGAATTTGTGTATCAGCTGATAACATTTAGATGCATTTTGTATATTGTATTAAGAGAAAGCTGTGCAAAGCTTGACAATTGTTAATCACTGAAAGTTAAAGCTAGTTTTTGTGAGAAACAAATGTAGTTGAAACAAGGTTATTCTACATACAGAGGAATTATGGATAAGTTTAGCAGTGCAATTCATAGGTTTTGTAATACAAAAAAGATGGGGGTTTTGTTTGGTTTGATTTTTGGTTTTGATTTGGGGATTTTTGTTTTGTTTTGTTTGGGTTTTTTTGGGGGGATTGTGAATGTGTGCGTGGGTTTTTTTGTTTGTGGTGGGTTTTGTGGTTTTTTTTGTGGTTTTTTTGTGGAGGGTTGTGGAAGAGTAAATTAAAATGACATTTCATGCTATTTATATGCAAATGCTTATAATTTCCCTATTTAATATCTATCTCCTTGTCACTTTACCATACCTAATGGCATAGAGCAAGCAGAAAAAGAAGACTAAGCATTTGTTTCCACAAGTTTTCTTCATATTCCTACAATCAGATTCAGAAGCATTATCCAGCAAGTATTTGAATCACAGAGGGATATCATATATAGCAGCTGGTCTTTTCTTAGTAATGCTTAAAAGAATATTTAGTTGGTTAAGCAATTTCAGAAATATTGCACATGTACTAAGTAATTGATAAATGCATGCACTCATTTTAGCAATAGGAAGCTGAAAATAGACAATTGCATGTATTTCTGGAGTCTCAAAGATACACTGCTTTTAATTAAAGGAAGCACTGAAAAAAAGTTACAGTTACCTTCCTGTAATGTTTGCTACATACACTAGCTAGTTCTTTGCTACTTACATACAATAGAGCTTGTTTGTGAATAGAAGGCAGAAAAGTCCAACATCCCGCAGTTATTTCAAGTTCTGTTTCAGCTGAGTAGCAATTTCTCACTATTATTTCATCTCTGCAATACTTCATGTTGCATTTTGAAGGAATATTGTTCTTTTGGCTCTGCTTCCTCTATTTCTTTTATTGTAGATGGTTCTGTTACAGGCAAAAAAGTACTAGTAGCAAAACAGTGTTCGTTTTCCTTCCTTCCATTATCTCTCCATAGGGTACATACATGTGTATGTACAAACATATACGCACGCACATAAACACCCCAAACCACTTGTAATCACGGATGTTTTATTATGATAAGTATTCCTGTATGTGTGTATCCTCACACCCTGCTCCGTAACACAAAAGGGGTGTTCATGGTCTAAACATCCGAGACTGGTTCTGTGCAAACTCAAATTTGTAAGCATTCAAGGGAAGAAAAAGTTACCAGACCAGCCCCTGCACTGCTTAGCTGATGTTATACAGCCTTCTCTGATTAGCTTTTAAAAATTATTTTTAGCTTAAGTATGTAGCATAGAGCCCTAGACACAGAGTTTGATGGTGCTTATCACTTCAAATATGGTATCAGTAAGTTCCTCATAAAAAGAACAGACTGTAGGTGTGTAAGGGACTCCCTTTTTTTTTTTTTTCTTCTGCAGAGAGTCTTTACCTTTGAAATCAAAAGGCTTGGCTGCAGTGATTCCCCCAGCTGCTTCAGCCTGACTCTAGTGATAGCTAAGGCTGCAGGTGAGCTCCCTACAAATACTGGGGCACCCCAAGTTCAAAGCTGGTTGGAATGCAGTCTGCAAACACTTTTCATTATTTTCTTTAATTCCCTTTACTGTATTACTATATATTATACAATATTTACTATATTTCTGTTCTATTTTCCTTCTTTTTTTTTCTGACCCAATTAATATCTTTTCACTTGAAATGGTTTGTACATTTTTTAGATAGATTTTGGGAGAAAGAGTAGCTGTAATGCTAAAAAAGCTGGGATGCTGTATCTTGTAGCCCTCTGTGACTGCCTCTCTTTGTCTTCTCAGAGGCCTTTGTACATGCTAACCTCACTTAGGGGAGTTTATCTAAGGAATTTAGGCTGTCATAAAGATCTCAGTTTATGGGGGGTTGAGTGGATTTGGAATTCCTACGTGAAACTGAGTATATATATGGGCAAAAATAGCAGTAGAACAAAAGACTATGCAAAGGAATTGCTTTTCTATTGCTCAGACTAAAGTAACAGGTTTGTGTATGGGGCTGGATTGCTGAAGCATGGGCTAGCAGTTGTGTGCCTGTTCACCATGAGCAGCTGAAGTGGAGACTCTGGAGGAGGGAGTTTCCTCATTTACCTCTACAGCCACCAGCAAGACCTGCCCTGCTGTACTTAGCTCCGCATCACTTGGGAACGCACTGATGGATGACAGCATATTTGTCTCTGATGTATAGGCAATTCTGAACTTTAGTAAAGTTGTCTTTCACTTGAGCCAAGTGGACGTAGGACTGAGAGCTGCAGGGGCAACTAAATTCAGTAAAAAGCAAGCATCTAAAATTGGAAGCACCTAAAATCAGAAGCACAATATAAAAATGATTACAGAAGTGCAGTGAAACTCCACACTGCACCTTCAGATGAAGAGCAGAGCAATCTGTAACTTACTGGCATTACCTTACACAAGTCCTTGAGAACTGGATCAAGGGTAATATAACCCCCATTTTTAGAAAAATACAAATAGAAGACCCAGGGAGCTGTAGACTGGTCAGCTTCACCTCTGTGCCTGATAAAATCATGGAGCAGATTCTCCTGGAAACTATCCTAAGGCACATGGACAACAAAGAGGTGATTAGTAACAGCCAGCATAGATTTACAAAGGCAAATCATGCCTGACAAATTTAGTAACCTTCTATGATGTTGTTACAACATTGGTAGATAGGGGCAGGGCAACTAACATCATCTGCCTGGACTTATGCAAAGCATTTGACACTGTCCCGCATTACATCCTTGTCTCAAAATTGGAGACACATGGATTTGTTGGATGAACCACTCAGTGCATAAAGAGCTGGAGGGATGGTCACAAGCAAAGAGTTGTGGTCAATGGATCACTGGCCATGTAGAGACCAGTGATGAGTGTTGTTCCCCAGGGATTAGTGCTGGGCCTGTATACTATTCAACATATTTGTCAGTAACATGAACAGTGGGATTGAGTGCATTGTCAGCAAGTTCACTGATGACACCAACCTGTGTGGTGCAGTTGATACGCTGGAGGGAAGGGATGCCGTCCAGAGGGTCCTGAACAGGCATGAGAGGTGGGACGATGACAACCTCATGAAGTTTAACAAAGTGAAGTGCAAGGTCCTACACCTGGGTCATGGCATTGGCAGACACACCTATGGGCTGGACAGAGAAGGACTTGGGGGTGGCAGTTGATGAAAAGGTCAACATGAGCCATTGGTGTGCACTTGCATCCCAGAAAGCCAACCATGTCCTGGACTGCATCAAAAGGAGTGTGATCAGCAGTTTGAAGGAGGTGATTCCCCCCTCTTGCTTTCATGAGACCCCACCTGGACTACTGCATACAGTTCTGGTGTGCCCAACATGAGAAGGGCATGGAACTGTTGCAGAAAGTCCAGGGGAGGACCACAAAGTTGGTAAGAGGAATGGAACACCTTCCCTATGAAGATAGGCTGAGAATGTTGGGGCTGTTCAGCCTGGAGAAGTAAAAGTTGTGTGAGGACATCATATCAGCATTCCAGTATCTGAAGAAGGCCTACAGGGAAGCCAGAGGGGGCTCTTCATTAGGAACGGTAGTGATAGGACAAGGAGCAACAGGTATAAATTGAAAGAGAGGAAATTTAGATTAGACATTATGAAGAAGTTTTTTACTGTGTGGGTGGTAAGGCACTGGAATAGATTGCTCCAGGAGGCTGTGGATGTCTCAACCCTGGCAGTATTCAAATCCAGGCTGGATGAGGTCTTCAGCAGTCTGGTCTAGCAGGAGGTGTCCCTGCCCATGGCAGGTGAGGGTTGGGACTAGATAATCTCTGAGATCCATTCCAACCCCTTATCATGCTATGATATCTAATCATAAATGGACTTTTATCCAAGGAGAATAATGCTAGCAGTTTACCCTAGTGTTAATGATGAATCAGTAAAATTTGTATTTGAAAACAACCTAGAACTCTGAGAATAAATGCATAGTGTGAATAGATTAATGTTAATAATTATTATAGGACTTTTGTAACTAATAAGTCATAATTGAGATAAGGCATAACATGGCCCTTTATAAGGCTGTCTTCAAGAAGTAAAGAATTTGTCTCCACAGAATAAAGGCCAGTTTATTGAGCAAAACCTCAGAATTAATGATGGGTTTGTCTAAATACAATATTAAGTAAACTGTAAGAGAGACGTGTTAACAATCAAAAGGATAGTGTAGACACAAAACCAAATGGGGGCACTAGCTATAAACACTTTAGTGATGGAAAATGGGAGAGGGCCATTCTTAGCATTGGAAGAACTTTGGGAAATTCAAGGGGTATCTTTACTGGTAATAGAAGAAAGAAACATTCAGTGTTTTAAGAGGGAGGATGATTATTCCTGTTCTACTTGATATCAACAATGAACATTTGTTGAAACAAGTACTACAGTATGTGTCTACTTTTCAGGTAAATTTCCTAAACCCTGGGCTCAAAAAAAATTGTTTGCAGCATCATTGAATATGTGTAATGTATACAACAGAATTTCTTCAAGCAGTAGTGTGTAGTTCCAAACAACACAATGTTTTTAGAAAGTGTATTCCCAAGTGACAGTGACTTTCCCAAAACAGATGGGAAATACAGATTAAATTGCTGTATTCTAAGTCAGATAGCATCTCATATGCCTTAGTGTGTTTGAATCATTGTACAATTCTGAGGTATTTCCAGGCAGATAATTTTATTTTTACACAATGTAGATCCTTTATTTAAACAGCAAAATTGGCTATTTGATTTATAAAGGTGGCTGTCTCATCCTCCTTTCTGGCAGTTCTGCAAGTTTAGAATTTATTTTACTTCCTCCTTCCCCCTGGAAAGTTTCTTTGGCAAGCTGAGTGAGCATTCATAAACATTTTTGCTGTAATTGAACTCATACTTGGCAGCCAATAAACTGTCTACTGAAAACCTACTTACCAATTTCTGTATTCGAAATGTGGACTGGTGAAATATCAAAAATAAAATTTTTTTTGCTATTATTAAACTAATTTCAGCCATTCTTAATGAGAAGGTCTTAATGCTGTTTTACAAATCTTGATATAGAAATGAAGGATAAATTAAGAGACTAAGTGTAGCAATTAGTTTACAAGGATGGTTCTTAGAGCCATGATCAACTAAGAAGTTTTCATTGTCAACAATGCAGGTATTGACTTGAATACTAAGTAGATATTTATTGGTTTTCATCTGTCAAGAACATTACACATCTTAAGAGATCTAAAAGCTTTTTCCAATTAAAAAAATTGTGTTCAGTCTGCTTGTGCTTTTTTTGCTGTTTTACAACTGCCCTGTTGTCTACTGTTAAGTATTATTTTGCTATAATACATGTTTTTGACATTTTGTATTGTAGTGGCTAGTAACATTTAATGTATTTTGCTTTTTTAGCTACACTGAAAGAGCTCATATCCCAGACTATGGTGCGCTGGTCCCAGGAAGATCAGATTCAAGATCCTGAATTAGTTCGGATTATGTACAGTCTCCTTCGTAGGCAATATGACAGCATCGGTGAGCTACTGCAAGCTCTGAGGAAGGCATACACTATTAGTGCTGCCTCTGTGAAGGATACCATTAATCTCCTTGCAGCACTGGGCCAGATTCGCTCACTTCTCAGTGTGAGGATGGGAAAAGAGGAGGAATTGCTAATGATTAATGGATTAGGGTATGGAATTAATGTAATTTTGTTTTTAAGTTAGTGTAAAGCTTTTTGTTATATTTGCAAATCCTGTCATTTTAGATCATGGATGAAAATTACTGCTAGACTGAAGTGTAGATATATACCACAAATTTTCATTTTCACAGATATCTCCAAGGTGGCTCCAATTGATCTCTCTAGCAGTATCAAATGGGTCAAAGTTTCTGTGAACTAGTGTTATGTAAGAAAAATGGACTCCTTTTACTATAGCTAAGACTAATGCTTACATACTTGTCAAAGTAAATGTTTTAGCCACTCTGGAGAAAGAGACCACTAAAATCTCTGTTGGTGTCTATACTTCATCTTTCCCAAACTTAAAGTTCATGTTATATTTCATGTGTGAGTGAATAAACTTGCTGGTGTCTTTTCAGTTGGAAATTTGAGTTAGCAGTTAAGTAGAACCTGCAAAGTGGTGTTGTGAACTTAAATATTTACAGTTGGTTAGTATATATTATTTCATCATCGGTGGCAACTTAAATGGACATTGAAGACTGCTCATTTTGTTCTTTAATGCATTAGAATTATAATTGCCTTTATACAGCACCTGATGACGTGAGACCATTTTCCCACATCTTGAAATTACCTTGGTTAAGCAGAGGTATTATACTGGTTAAGCAGAGGTATTATAGTGTATGCCTGCATTCTTTTACTCCTTGTATATGAATAAATGCTGATCAGGCCATTTAATTTTTGGAAAAAAAACTTCACAGAAAATTAATTGCTTCAATTAAAATTGTGTATCTAGAAAGAGTGAAAATGATAATATGGTTACTGGTTGCCTGAGAACTGTATTTATCTTTCTTCAAGTATAATTCACAATTACTCTCATATACAGCAATTGTAAGAAACTTCAATCGTTCTTACTATTTCAGTGTTCAAATTGCGTAGTTTTGGTCAAAATTGCAAAGACTATGCTCTTCATTTAAATTGATCAAGTCATGGCAATGACTCATTAGTTGTTAGGTAACAGTATTACCCAGTTTGTCCCTGATGCTGAGTTTGTAAAGTTGCAGAGAATTGTAGGAGGGATAAAGGGTAGGTTTTGTCTAAATAAGGCATGTGTATAGCCACCTTGCCAGAGGTGCTGTATTGCAAGCCATCCATTCCCTGTTTTCTCTATCTCTTTAAAGCAGGCATGTTGCCTCTAATTTGCCATGTGATTTTACAGACTGTCCTAAAATGTTAGAAATCCCTGGATTATATTGAAACACATAAACTGTGTTCTGGACTATGAAATGAATAAGGCAAATTCTTGAACATGTTGAGAAATGGTGGGCAGAGTGAAAAAGTTAAAGTAGTACTTTTTAATGGGAATGTATTGTACAGTCTGACAGATGGTCTTAATTTTGGAACTATTAATGAAACACGTACAACAGATAACCTTAAATATTAGGTCTATTTATTGTCTTCTACTTTGTGAACTTAATTAAGATGTGTTACTGCAGAAACATGATTAGACTTCATTTTCTTGATCTCAGTTCTCAACTTGAAATATAACAGAATGTATTCTTTTCCACTTACATTTTTTCTTTAAACAGAACAGATGGTAAGAGCAATTTAGAGATTAAGAAAATCCATTTTGAAATAATTTAAAAGTTAATATTCTTATTATGAAGCATCCATGAGAATTAGAGGAATGACAGCATATTGTAATGTGAAGCATTTAGTTGTCGGTTGTTTTTGTATTATGCTGAAATCAAAGAATTTGAAATGATGTTACTTCAGTGAATGCATATTCTGAAATCTCTAATAATGCATCAATGATTTAAATTGAGGTTTCTTGAAAACAAATTGTTGTCTTTTTTTCCATTTTAGGGATATAATGAACAACAAGGTGTTTTATCAGCATCCTAACTTAATGAGAGTCTTGGGCATGCATGAGACTGTTATGGATGTGATGGTTAATGTGCTTGGAGGAGATAAATCTCAGGTAACTTCACCATAATTTTGTTATGTGTTTTCCATTTTGAACTTTTCCAAAAGTATACTAGGATGTTTAAGAAGCAAGGAAAAATACATCTCCCTCATGTAAGATAAATTTTGCTTGTCCAAATAAAAATACTGATTAATGATAAAAATAAAATAGTTTCTGTAGTACTAGAGGGAGAAGCCCAGCAGTCTAGGACTTGATTTTTAAAAAGTGAGTAGGATGTTACAGGTGTTTCATTTCTCTTTTAATAAGATTGTAAAATGTTCTTATTGTAAATTAAGTATATACTTCAGCTGCATTTATTGGAGGTGCAGCTCTGCTAGGAAAATATACCTTTTCATCTTAGATGAAGTCTTATTACCAATAAACTATAATAGGCTAACAACAGCTTAATTTTGTATACTCAAATTCATGTACTCGAACTGAGCAATCATTTTCTTGCAGTGTTGTGTTCTCCCTTTTTATAGTGTTATACTTGAATATATATGTGTTATTTTAAAGGCAGAGCAGCATAAATTTTGAGAAGCCTAACAGAACATTTACATTACTGAAGAAAGTGAGAAATAAAGCAAGCTTATTTTCTTATTTTCTTTGCTTTTGCCTGATGGTTTTACCCTACTGCTTTCCTCCCAAAAAGAGGGGTCTCCTTTGATCCCAGTGTTACAAAGTATTCACATTATGGTTTCAATTTTTCTGTTTCATTTCAAGACAAGTCACAATGAATTATAAAATTATCAATACTTTGCTAATTTATAGGTGTGGCAACACTCTGGGCTTGATGCAACTTGTACATATAATCAAAAGTGAAAGATATAAAAAACCCCAAACCCTAAATAGCAACAACCTCTCAGTGCCTTCTAATTACATTAAAAATACTTTCATACAGTATTTTAGTAACACAGATCTACAAAAATACTTTACATAAATTGCCATGATATTCTTCAAAGAAAATGCAGATGAAGAAAATTGCTTAGTATCCTTGTATCACACCATTTAATGTGTCTGGCCATCAAAAACGTCTTATTTCATGTCTGTCTTTTTGAAATGAATGAGGAGAGTTAGGTACCTCATGGACATTTCTTTGTGTTCAATGTATAACTTCAAGACATGGAATGAGCACCCATGCAACATAGTGTCTAGTTTAGGGAGTGGGCATTTTTCTAGGTTGTGGCAACAGATGGTTTAAGATAGATCTTCAGCTTCTTGGAAAAAATGATTTTATTATGAGGTTGTATTGAGATGTAGTGAGAGTGTTATAGCTCACACTTCTCCAAAGGAATGGTGGGAAGGTAAAAACATGTCTGGTGAAACTGAAGAAAATATATATCAGGCTTCTTTCCATCTGTGCTATTAATAAATGAGTCAGAAAAAGAGGAGGAGACCTGTGGAATCTGATATGGCTGAAGGTATCTCAGTACCTTAGAAGTATTTTGCTAGCACTGGCTAATAAAACCCTGTGAAACGTATGTCCCAGATAATAACTGGGGAAGCTGTCAATATTTCCATCACAAATAGATTTTAGTGTGTATCTTAATGCCTAAAATAGTTATTCTAAAGCCTGTGTCTTTAGATCGTATAATTTTGGAATCTTAATGTTGTGTTGGTTTGTGATGTTGCTTGTTCATTCATTTTCAAAGAATCCGGAACAACACCCTTTTTGACTGTCAGAATGGAACCATTTTATTTTAAAATTGTTTCTTACTGATTGAAAAATTTAGAATTCCAGACTCATATATATTCCCATGTGAATTGCTTCGTTATAATAAAGTATAAGCAGTATTATTTATGGTTGAAAGGTATGAAGCATAGAAGGGAGGATGTCATAGAAAGAAAAAAACCCCATGATATTGTGATTAAAATGGTCAGATATCACCTTGGACATTATAGAATGTATATGTATAATACAGAGAATGTATTCCTGCTTGTGTCTAAAGGGTGCAAGCAAGACAATTTAAAAAAGAATTCTTAATGGTAATGAATTTTCTTGTTAATTTTGTGAGTATCCATGGGACATAAATTTGCATGTGAACTTGACACTTTATTACAAGTGCTATATAATGGTAAATTTAATAATTCAGGTAGAAAAAAACTGTGATTTTTGTTCTTGCTCTTTCACCTTTTTTCAGTAAAATATTAGTATGGCACAAGTTGTTCATCTCAGACTGTATGTTCTTATTGTAATATGGGAGGAGAAACTGGGGCTCTTGAATATTCTTTATTCTTCTGTGTCATAGAAGACATTATGTCATATGTCACCTGGGGGTCCTGATGCATCTCTCTTATGAGGAAAAGGCTGAGGGATTTGGGCCTGTTCAGCTTCAAGAAAAGACAGCTGAGAAGGGACCTCATCAATGTATACAAGTACCTGAAGGAAGAGGATAGAGCCAGGGTCTTCTCAGTGGTGCCAGCCAATAAGACAAAAAGCAATGGGCAAAAATTGATGCACAGGAAGTTCTCCCTGAATATCAGGATGAGCTTTATTGTGCGAGTGACTGAACACTGAAACAGATTGCCCAGAGCTGGGGAATCTCCCTCACTGGAGATATTCAAGAACCGTCTGGGTGCAATCCTGTGCCATGTGTTGTTGGATGACCCTGAAGTGTAGAGTTTGGACCAGATGGCCCACTGTGGTTCCTACCAACCTGACCCATTCTGTGATTCTGCAATGTTGGGGGTTGAACTTGTTACTGTAATGCTGCTCAGGTTGAATTTTTGTATAACTGCATTTGCTAGTCTGAAAATTGCTTAAATGAGAATTATTTCTCCATTTTTACCCCTTGTATGTTCCCTATAGTCCTCTACAAAATGATCTTTCAATATTTTAATGGCCTATCAAATATGAAAGTTAAAAGAAAATGTAGGTCCTTTCTTAAGTTAGAACCAAAGCAACTGTCGGTTGCTTATCACCTTGGTAACTTCACTATACTTTCCTTGTTAGGAGTGCAGGAAGAAGAACTGGAACAGATTGGTAATTAACATATTTCACTGCTTTGTCAACTTTCTCTTTCAGCAGATCGCTTTTCCTAAGATGGTGGCAAGCTGTTGTCGATTCCTGTGCTACTTCTGTCGAATCAGTCGTCAAAACCAAAAGGCCATGTTTGAGCATCTTAGTTACTTACTGGAAAACAGCAGTGTTGGACTGGGTATGTCATGTAGCTGTAACAGCTAAAAGCAAGACCAGGAGGAACTGTGATATCAAAAGACCAGTATCTAATTTGTATAGCAAGTTGAAATATCCATAAATCATCCTGTGGTTTCACATGTAACTTTTTTTTTCATTTTCGTTTCATCCTTATGTGTCTCTGATCTGTATTAGAAACATAATAGTCTAAATCTGTGTTATTAAATACCTTAAAAAATTAGGATTAAACATACAATTTGATATTTTTTCTATTCAAAATAGTTATGATTTGAAATTAAGACTAAGTTGTCCCTTTATGGTGCTTGCCTATTTCATCTGGTTTCATTTTCCTTGCCTCTGCAGTTTAGCCTTCTGAAGTGAATTTCATATTTTTCCTTTGGAACACTGAATGTATGTTTTTTAATGCATGCACATTAGATTTTGTAAGACAAGGAAAATTGTCATGCTAGGTAGATGGGTATAATAACAAGATATAGCAAGGCAAGATACCGTGTGATTTCACAGTGTGTTAGGTGTTCATGCCTGCATTTGACTGTAATAAACACAGAAAACGGGAAAAGATTAAAGAAGATAACATAAAGAAAGATAACAAGAAGTTTAAAATGTCTATTTTGGCTAAATACAGGTATATTTTAAATTCATGAATTGATAAGGCTTTGCAGAATTACATAGTTAACATTGCTCTGCTAAAGAATTAATATTCCTCTGATTTGCTATGTTGTTAATACTGATTTTTTTCATCTGCATTTAAAACCAATGTTGTCGAGTATGTTTATAGATATGGATGTCAAGTCAGAAAAAATATTTCAGCATTTATTTTCACATTACTGAAAACAGTTTACCGTGCTCTTGAATGAAGAACAGCCCTACAGTGTACTATGAATACGTTTCCGTTCAGGATTCAGGCGTGATTGGTGCCCTCTGCTGCATGAGTGCGATTACTGCAAACTCAATTTAGTTACTGTGTGTTAACTTCTGCAGCATTTCCGTCAATGAGAGGTTCGACTCCTCTAGATGTTGCAGCAGCCTCTGTAATGGACAACAATGAGCTTGCACTCGCATTGGAGGAGCCGGATCTCGATAAGGTAACTCTGACCTATTTACCTGTTTATTAAATGCTGTACTTGTGCTAGAAGAGTTTAAAAGGCCAAGTTGGATCGTAGTAATTTTTCGATATGATCTCCTCAGAAATACCTGTTCTAGGTATGTACTGTCTCAAGGTAAGATTTACCCTGATTTTGCTTTATGCTTATTGGGAATCACACCAAAAGAGATATATTTCTATCTTCTGCATCCTTTCACTCTTGTTGCCAGATAGAAAAGATGACAAGAAAAAAGGCAAGAAACAGGAGAAACAGATATTGAGAAGGGATAACAAGTTGAGGAGGAGCAAATTTGAGAATTAAGAGGAGAATGTGAAAAATGGACACAGGTCTTTTGGCTTAAATCATAGAGATTGATGGGGATGGAGGTTAGAGGTAAGAGAATGGAAGGGCAGGTATTTCAAGAGGAAAATTGGAATAGGATTTTAACGGTAGTTGCAGTGGTAAACTGCAGGTATCCAGGACTCAGATCATTGGCAATGGTTAGGAATAAAGGGGAATGTGAGGAGAAGCAGGATGAACTAGAAGTGGGGGGTAAAATGGTGCAAAAAATGACATGAAAGTTCTTTATATATCCCAGCAGGAAAACAGATTTAGAGATGGAAGATGGGTGCAGAGTCAGAAGAGAAGGAGAGCGCAGAAAGGAAGTGATATGTGCTAACACAGCATTGGGGTACAGAAAACAGAAGGCAGGGTTTAATATAAATGAAGGGATAACTTAGCACAGGGAAAACTTCTGTGCAATATGGGAGAATACTGTGATGAGGGTGGAATGGGTTGCTGGGAGTGTTTGCTGATCCTTGTGGCAAAGGAAAAACTGGGAAATTTAAATAAATGAGTTTGTTATGGGGATAGCTAGGAGAAGACAGACTAGAATATGAGTGCAATAAATTGATAAATAGTATAAATTGATTAAACTATTGTTAAATAGTATTTTAAATGTTTCTTATATAATTTTAAAAAATACATGGATTCTACAATATTTTATTCTACTTTTCACATTCCACATTTGTTCATGTTGTTTATTTTTGTGTCATCATATAATTGGGTAACAGAAATAAAGAGCCCTTGAGTTTTTTCATTGTCATCAAAAGCAAGAACTGGAAAATATAACTGCTAAAACAATGAGCTATGTTGGTAGCTTCTTAGGTGAAATGCCTAGTATGTAGAAACCTCATAATAAAAAAAAAAAGGCTTTGTTAATTTTGGTTTATAGCTATTTTGAGAAATTTATTTCTAAACACGTGAATAAATGATTGCTTCTGTATTGTAGGTTGTTACCTACCTGGCAGGTTGTGGGCTCCAGAGTTGTCCAGTATTGCTGGCTAAAGGATATCCGGACATTGGATGGAACCCAATAGAGGGTGAACGTTATCTGTCATTCTTGCGATTTGCAGTTTTTGTTAACAGTAAGTGTAATTTTTTTTGGCATAGAAATTCCATCAAATGATTTATGTAAAATTACTTTCCTAACCATAGAAATGGACTAATGGCTGAAGAGAGGTTAATAATGCCTACTCTTCTCATTACAAATACAAGAGTATTGGTATATATGGATTACTGTAATTTTTAAAAAATCTTCATACTTAGCTGTGTTTTTCCTTAACCATTATGCAAATCACATAATTTAGTAGATTAACCTCTTATGGTAGCAAATGATGTTAGGAATGTCTTAAGTATTGACATATAATGTGTACATTGGTTATAAATGTAACCAGTAAGCACTGATTTTAGACCTCTCTTGGACACTATGCCACAGGGAGATTTAGAGGTTTGTAGTTAAGGCGTTTTGCATTACAAAAAGCAAATTTCTGATAGGCTGAATGTTTCTATAGTTCTGAGGGATCAGTTTGTAAAGTAGCCTGACTCTGTACGTTAAATTTTCTCCTTTGATAACTCTCTTATGCTTGCTTCTGTGGGAAATTTCCTTTTGTAATTTATAAATAAATATGTTGAAATAAAATCTGTATTATCTGAATGCCACTAAGAACATCCTCCAGTTAGGTGATTTTTTTGTCATCAAAATCAAAATAGTAATTTAGATTAGAGATTAGATAGAATCATAGAATCATCAAGGTTGGAAGAGACCTTTAAGATCGTCAAGTCCAGCCATAAACCATCAATCCATTACCTCTGTAACCCCTAAGCCATATCACCCCGTGCCAGGTCCAGATGCCTCTTAAACACCTTCAGAGATGGTGATTTCACCACCTTCCTGGGCAACCTGTTTCCATGCCTGACCGCCCTAACAGTGAAAATATTTTTCAAATATCTAATCTGAATCTCTCATGTCTCAGTTTAAGGTCATTTCCTTTAGTCCTCTCACTGTAGGCATGGCAGAAGAGACCATCCCCCACCTCTCTACAACCTCCTTTCAGGTAATTGTAGAGAGCAATGAGGTCATCACTGAGCAGCCTCTTCTCAAGACTGAGTAAACCCAACTCCCACAGTTCTGGTTGGGATTTAGAATCTTCTCATAATGATGTGTTTGGGGATGATTCAGAACTTTTGAAAATCAGATTGCTAATTTCTCTGTGTCCTTTGCCTGAGAGGATAATTGAAAACATAAATTAATAAAATATTGAGGAGTTTGGTATAAAAGCAACAAACATAGCCTTGTAAACACATGAATGAATTTTGATTCTGGCCAATGAAACCTTGGAATAAGAAAAATTCTTCCTTCAGTCAAAATTCTTCATTAACATGTTCTGTGAGGTAAATCAGAGCAGACTGAAAGATATTAAAGCTATTTTAAACAGTTTGATATCCCATCAGAAGGGATATAAAAAAAAATATATACAGAGAATGTCAGATTAAGATTCTAGTGGCAAATGCAGTGCACAAGAATTTATAAATTGAAAATTAAATTAATTAATTCTTGATAAAATTTTTTTTACCTCAGTAGAGCAACATTAAAGATTAATTCAATCTCTGTGCTTAAAGCAAGCTTATTTCCTGCACATTATAAATTAAAACTACCTGCTCGGGGCTTTTGATGTTATGTGCTTCCTTTTACTCCAAATTTTACTCCTCACAAAGTCTATCACTGGTGTGTCAAAATGATCATTTGCATATCTGTAGCGCTATATGTAATATTTCTGAGAATAGATTTGACTTAATTAATGATTTCTAAAGTCTTCACTTAGTAGATTTCAACCAAATGAAACTAGAATTGTTGACTTTAAGATTTAAAATTCTGCTTTTTTCCTGCAGTGTAAAAATAAGGTGAATTAAAAGGAGAAAGAAACTTTCAAAAAGAAACCCAAAGGAAAAAACCCCAAACCATTAAAAAGGCAAGATTCTCTGCAAAATCCATAGTTACAGTATAGAATTATGGAATCTTTTGGGTTGGAAAAGATCCTTAAGACCATTGAGTCCAGCCATAAACCTAACACTGCCAGGTCCACCACTAGACCATATCCCTAAGCAGCACATCTACATGTCTTTTAAATACCTTCAGAGATGGAGTTACAATCCAATTTGTGAGAGGTGCCTCTGCCCAAATGAAGGCTCTTTCTAGGAACTGGCTAAACATCTGCCTGGGAAGTAGTGCATGAATTTGTCTTTGTCTGCTTTGTTTGCACCATAGATGTCTTTTCTCTACTAGACAAGTCATTATCTCAATCTATGAGTCATCACACCTTCTTTCAATTTTCTCCCTCTTGCTCTCACTCACCCCAATAGCAGACTTCCTGCCTTTTGATACTGTTAGCCTTGGTACCAGAGATTAGTTTTTGCCAGAAAATTAATCTTCTAGAGTGAACTGTTCTAGATTGAGTGTAGTAAAACTTTTGCAAGGCAAGTGTACATTGGCACTTTTAAACCTCAGTATAGTTTTGATAAAGCACATTTAATGCTGCCAACTTACTACATTTTTGTTTTCAATCTTTAGTATGAGTATTTGTTTTATATTTTGTAAAAAATGGAGTTTTCTTCTGACTTAAGGATACCTTTCAGGACAAAGTATGTATAGTGCTTTTTGGTCCTCAGGTGAAAGTGTTGAGGAAAATGCAAATGTTGTTGTCAAGCTCCTTATTCGACGGCCAGAGTGCTTTGGACCAGACCTTAGGGGAGAAGGTGGTAATGGTTTGCTGGCAGCTATGCAGGAAGCTATCAGGATCTCAGAGAATCCTACCCGTGACCTTCCTTCCCAGGCATATAAAAGGGAAGGGTAAGTAAATGTGGATGTTTGTTTGGGAAATGATGATTTAATAGCTGGTTCAATCATGCTTGCAATATGTTGATAATAGGCCCTGTTGTGTAAGGCAATAAACAGAACATCAGAGATTTGCAACCACAAGCAGTTGTCAAGCATGAGCTAGAGAAAAGCAGAATAAGAGTTACAGGAGAAAAAAAAGCTTAAAGGACAAGCAAAGGCTGTTGTGGAATGAAGCTAAGGTAAAGTGAAAGAGGAAGATGGCTCATGTGAAGTCAGCTATTGCTGTTCAGTTGCATGCTTACTCTAGGGATAAAACCTCCATAATCCAAAGCCAAAGGGAATGAGTATGTCTGATTAATCTTTTCTGGATCATGTCTCTAGCTCCAGAAATGAGCTATAAACTTATGTTAGCACAAATGCTCACTGGTACTGTTTATTTTTTAGTGATGATGAGGAGGAAGAGGAGGAGACTGTGCACATGGGAAATGCAATCATGTCATTTTATTCAGCTCTCATAGATTTACTTGGACGCTGTGCACCAGAAACGCATGTAAGTTCATTTTGTCACTTGCTCAGAAAATGTAGATTTGTAAACATAACTGTACTTGTCTAACTAAAGCCTTCTGTACTCAAAGGCTTCTTCCCTTCAGAAGGTAGACTTGATTCCTTCTTGCTGTATCTAGATAGATGTATTTCCTGCAAGCTATTTATAAAGAATCCTGGTCTTTTGATTCCTTTATTCCTTTTTATGTACCTAAAATTTTGATAATTTTATATGACTATGGAATCAAAGCAAATATGAACTATTAGTGTTGCACAACTAAGCAACCAGTATAATAACAATTCCTGACATTGGTAAACTTTTCCTAACAGCTTATTCAAAGTGGAAAAGGAGAAGCTATTCGAATCAGGTCAATCCTTCGATCTCTAGTGCCAACGGAAGATTTGGTTGGGATCATAAGTATACCACTAAAGCTGTCAACTGTTAACAAAGGTAACTTTGATACTTTTATTAGATCAGCTATCTTCTGATAAAAGTCTTTTGGCACGTTAGCCTTCAGGTGTAAAATAGAGCAGTTTTGTTAGAGTTGAATGCAAGCAAAGAACTGTTCTTCAGATTTTAATTAGGTCTGTATCAATTAGAGCTGCTCTGGTAGCACAGGTATTTGCTCCTGTGGAGCAGAAAATGTAGGACCATAAGAAATACTTTACAGGATCACACTAATGGGCTGGTACTTCATCTCCAGCAGTGGCTGTAGAGATGCTACCTCTTTAGGTAAAATGTATAAGCTTGGTCTCAGTCGCTTTGTACTTCCACATCATCCAGTCTTTTGTTTAGAAAGACTAGTGTCTCTCTCTGCCCATCAATATCTGTTTCTGGGCCTGGTATCCAAGAATGTATCTAATCCCTTTGGAATAATATCTGTACTCACAAACTCCTGTGTCAATAAATTCTACAACTTCACTATTTGCTACATTTTAGGCATTTAATTTTTTTAAAAAAATCCCTTAGACTCTGCTAATTTTAATTAAAACACTTGAATTGTAGTATTTAGGGATTTTGTGTATAGCAATTCATAATTCACCTGGTCAACCAGATTAATAATTTTATTAATCTCAGTTTTTCTCTTTCTCAGTCCTCCTTTTGCCAAGATGAAGAATTTAAATTTTTCTTAGTCTCTGATCATAACTGCTCCATTACCTGAACTATTTTATTTGCCTGATGTGTATCTTCACTATTTCTATTCTGATTCTATTCACTATTCATTCTGATATATGTAAAACAGCTGTGGGATATACACAAGATGTGAGCAGGTTGTACTGATAATGTGGGCACACAATAGCTTGGTTTATGCATTAGTTTTTGCCATGGTTTAACCCCAGCCAGTCCCCAAACACTATGCAGCCCATGAGCAGTGGTGCTTGCTCACTTCCCCACCAGTGGGATGGGGGAGAGAATCAGAAGGGTAAAAGCTCGAAAACTCATGGGTTGACATAAAGACAATTTAATAGGGAAAGCAAAACACGCACACAAGCAATGCAAAACAAGGAATTAATTCACTGCTTCCCATGGGTGTGCAGGTGTTCAGCCATATCCAGGAGAGCACATGTAATGGTTACTTAGGGAAGACAAATGTCATCAGTCCAAATGTCTTCCTCTTTCTTCTTCTTCCTCCCACTTTATATACTGAGCATGATGTCATATGATATAGAATATCCCTTTGGTCAGGTTAGGTGTATGGATCGTGGTATTCTTGCTTCTTATGTAATTGTTGATTCTTTCCTAGAAGAGGTCAATGTGGTTATTCAGGGCAGATTTATTTCCACAAAATGACTTCCAAGGTAACCATACAAAATGAAATTTTCTATAAAGCATAAACTCAACAGAGGATGAGGGATTTCGTGGCTTATGATCTCCATGTTTGAAAATAATTTCTCTACGTTCCATGGGCTATAAACTACCAGTCTACCATTTTTATTCTGGAGCAATATAACTTTATCCTCCTTTCTGTCCTTCTGTTGTCCTTTCTGCTTCACAAGAAGTGTCTATTTCCCTTTGCAGGGATGTTTTTTCAGATACACTTTCAGCTGCTTTGTTATTGTTATCTTTCCCTTGGATTCCATGTTCTTTCTAGTCTAGTTTATAAGAGACAAAAATTAAAAGTCTGAACTTTGTTTGACTTCACAGTTAATACATTTTTTAGTATTTGCAGTAATATTTAGCTTTCAGTTTATCATATAAACATTTTCCATAATAGTTAAGAAACAAGTAGAATGTTTTATCATTCATTCTTAAGTTTTCATTCAGGAGTGAAAGATTGATAAATTGCAAAATAATAGGGTTTTTGAAATAATAAAAACTTATGATTCTTTCTAAGCATACAAGAAAACTGAACAAGAACATAATTTTCTTTGAATATGTAATTCTGCAAATAAAATGTAATTATAATGTCTTCCATTGTCTTGGTGTTTCTTGTTTTATCAGTGATTTACTGTTAAAAATTGCATTATGTCTTTGTGTAGATGGCACAGTAAATGAGCCAGACATGTCTGCAAGTTTCTGTCCTGATCATAAAGCACCCATGGTACTCTTCTTGGACCGTGTCTATGGTATTAAGGACCAAAGCTTCCTCCTTCACTTACTGGAAGTTGGATTTTTGCCAGATTTAAGAGCCTCTGCCTCTTTGGATACAGTACGTATTTCTCTATGGAGTGTAGATGCATTGGCTAGATATAGTGGCTCTGTAGGTGTAAAAAATGGAATTTCAAGTCCAAAGAGCTTTAAAAATAAAGAGGTAGTATAGACTTGCTATAAAACAATATCAATAAAAATTCATTTGCTATTAATTTATAGGGCTTAAGTCTGACTGTAAGTGTTCAGTAGCATCTTAGGAAGAAACAGTGTAAAATATTTTTGAAACTTGTAATACAGGCTGTACAGTAATACAATAAGTACATATAGTATACTCTAATAGGCCTAATGATTGCTTTTATTTCCTCTGTGTTTCCAATAATTACACTGAAAATCCACATGTATGAAGAAATTAAGTGAGAGGAAAAGTGCTATGTAATGCTTAGTGAGTTTTTCCAACCTGTGTAAAGAAAGAAGCTGCGTATTCTCTTCTGCTCCTATTGGTTCAGAGTGAAGTGGGGCAAGAGATGTGGCATAAGTGGATGGCTTGGATTTTCTCCACTTTTAAAAAAAAAAGGGCTTTTGTCCTCATGTGTAGACTGGGAATATCTTGTTGGCACGGAGCCACTAAGGGAACTTGAGGAGTATTTCGTTATTATGTTTTATAGACTTCATATTCAGTAACTTTTACTCAGTGTGATACTAACAATCACTTACTACTTCATACAGGTTTCTCTAAGTACCACAGAGGCAGCTCTCGCACTAAATAGATACATTTGCTCAGCTGTGTTTCCATTACTCAAAAGATGTGCTCCCCTCTTTTCTGGAACAGAGCATCATGCCACTCTGGTTGACTCCATGCTTCACACAATATATAGGTTATCCAAGGGACGGTCCCTTACAAAAGCACAAAGAGACACTATTGAAGAATGCCTGCTTGCTATTTGCCAGTATGTATGATACCTGTGTGCAAATGGATTTCTCTTGTGCAATATATGTATTTTAACAATTTCTTTCTTTGTGTATAGTCTGGAACTAAGGTTGTTTTATTCTTGCATGAAATAAATGACCGGTGTATGATAAAAATATTTTTTCCAAAGAAAAAAAATAGATGTAATTTTTCTATACTGGATACTGCATTATACAAGCTGTCATATTGATATGGAGCTTGTGGTGACATAGGATAAATTCGAATTATTTCTAAAAGCAAAACCCCAGTGATTACCATAAATGTTCTGGCAAGTCTGAGCACTGAGATTATCTCAGGAATTGAAATGTAGATTTGTCTGTTCACTTAGGTGAGTCCAGAAGTAGCACAACTTTCTGTGCTATATCCTTCTATATGTACATGAGGCATAGTGAGATTCCTTAAGCACCTTCTATTGGTTTTTCAAAATACTTTTAATGAATCTTTTGTATCCCAATATTTAAATTGACTTCAATTTTTATTTCATTTTCACTAACTATATGAGTTTAACTAAGAGCATATATTTTGTTAAATTACAGCCACTTATGTCCCTCTATGCTACAACAGCTGTTGAGAAGGCTAGTTTTTGATGTGCCCCTGCTCAATGAATACTGTAAAATGCCTCTCAAGGTAAATACTTTACTTTCTGTACACACATTCAGCATAAAACTTCAAAGTAATCTGTCATTATCATGTATTTAAAAACAGAACGGGCAGGGTGAAACAACCTGAAATTACTTCTGAGTTGAAAATAATGTTGCTGTTTTATGAAGTCTTTTAAATTGAATGCAATGCTTAAAGATTTTGTGAAATCTTGCCTAATACAAAGTGTATATAGTAAGTTGATTATGCAATTTTGTTCAGTCAAGCTATTGACTTTCTCACAGCTTCACCGAAGAGAGTATTTGGATGTTTCAAATTAAATGTTAATGTTGTCTTGATATTTTTTCTGCTACTATATGAACTATAATAACTCTTGGTAGGATGCCTATTCCAGGAATGAATTTTGAGTGTAATCCACAGTGATAGGATACAGGGAAGAGAAATCAGCTTTTATTTTTAATCAATCTGTAATTGAAGTCTTATCCATCTTTTTGTTCTGTAAATCGAAAACTACAATTGCGAGATGATAAATAAATCTTATTTAGAACTTTTCTGTCAGGTTTGCCTCACATTCCTACTGGGATAAAAGAGCCTGATCTTAGGTGTGCAGGTCTTTTTGTGGAAGAATTGAAATTCTATCATACTCTAAAGCAGAGCTGCCATATTCACACAGATACTCTGGAGCATCAGTAATTTTGGTGAAAAATGTGGTGAAGAGTGTTTGATTTGGGGTTTTTTTAGTTGTTATTTTCCTTTCCTAAATAGAATTGCAGTTAAAACTAAAATGTTAATCTTCTACTCTGATGATAAGAGAAATTACAGAATTTCCCACGGGATAGGAATTTTTGTCCTAAAGAAGAAATTGGTAGAAATTTGAAATGATGTGGAGAGCGCACCAATAATCATATATTCTAACTCTTTAACTGGTATATTTTACAGAGATGAGCAGTCACAGCTAAAAGGGTGTAATGCAGGTGTCTCTTGCAATGTTTTGGATAATACTGAGGCTATGTGCTACAAGTGACAAAAGCAAAATTGATTATTCAAATTTGTAAAACTTTTTATCAGAATCTATCGTGTCCTGCTTTATATCCATTTCGTTGTCTCTGTTTTTATCTTGTGAGCTAATCTGTGCTCAAATGATGACAATCCTGAAATTTTGTTACTCCCTGTCATCACTGAGAATCCCACTGCAGCAGCTGGAGATAATACAGGCTTCATACTTTCATGGTATGGGTTCTGCTGCTCTCCCAAAGGAAAAAGAAGAAAAGAGACCATTAGTATGAGCCATTGGAAATGAAGAGATAGGCACACATAATGCTACTATTATAACAGTATGTTATTTTGTTAAATACCAATGATCTATGTGCATTTTTATTTCTTGAAAAATCTAGCTTCTGACAAATCACTATGAACAGTGCTGGAAATATTATTGTCTGCCTTCAGGAATGGGAAGCTATGGAATTGCAGCAGCAGAAGAATTACATTTAACTGAGAAACTTTTCTGGGGAATATTTGATTCCTTGTCTCATAAGGTAATGACTGTCATTCACATTACAATATGTGATGACTATAAAAGCATTACAATGATAATTTGCTGTGCCAAGTGCTGAAAGTGCTTGTTTTAACAGTTGTTTCATCTAATGTGGGAAATACTGCCATGAATGCTTTTAATGAAGTAAGCTTCTAATGAAAAATTAAATGCTAAATCTTGAAATATTCTCTCCAAACTAATGAAACGTCAGATCTTTGTCATGATATGCCCATGAGCTTTACACTCGTAGTGAGGCACTACATATACATTATATATATGTATATCTATAGAGTAGTGATTAGTGATTTCTGCACTAACAAGTCAGTGTTGACTCCTCCATAATCTTAGCTCTACTAAACATTTTAAAATACTTTTTTACTGGCATAAGGCTAATTTTAGTGAATATATGTATATGCTTCTCAAAATTTTGGTATATGCACTGTAAATTTACACTGGCTGTTTTCAGACACATACTACTATTTCTTTATTTTTCTGGTTATTGCCCAGCTTAACAGTTATGATGCAAATTCTATGAAAGAAGCATTTTACCTGTTCCAAAGTGTGATCTTGGGATTTTTTTCAGTTACTGAGTCTTAATCTGAGTTGTAAAAATATTTATATTTCTGATACAAGAAATGCCTTACTGAGTAAATATTTTTTGTGTCCAATTGGGTTCTTGCTATGGGACAATAACAAATTTTTTAGTTGCATCTCTCTGAATTTATGTTCTTGTTCAAACCAACAGATATAGATGAGTGTTCCTCTAGGCATTCTGAATTATAGTATGGAAATGAAAACAGTCTCTGCATTATTCTAAAATGGCTTTTTAAGCTTAATTTGTGTTTGATTTTAGTGATATCTACTGCTTACTGCTTTCACAAGTGCAAATAGTGTCAGGAGGGCCTGACACAATGAAATGTGTGTTTCATAGAAGATCATACTCTAACTAGGCAAACAACTCTTGACCCTCCCTATGTAGGCCTTCGTACTTGCGTCGCATATACTTCTACAATGTCAGCATGCTCTTATGTCAATTTGAGTTGTCTTAATGATATATCAAGTTGATATAATGAGAAATAGATGTCATGCAGCAATATATTTTGCTCTTTGCTTAAATTTTAAGTGTGCTTTGCTATTGTTTGCATCTTCTAATATTTGTACATATGGCTGCTTGTTTTTCACTAACATTTTGCATGTTTTTCTATTGGATTTTCCAACCAGTTCCTATCTCTCCTGCAGAAGTATGATCCAGAGCTCTTTCGAATGGCCTTGCCTTGCCTCAGTGCTATAGCTGGTGCCTTGCCCCCTGATTATTTAGATACACGAATTATGTCAACTTTGGAAAAGCAGACATCAGTGGATCCAGAAGGAAATTTTGATCCCAGACCGGTCAGCACAGTGAAGTGAGTCATATACATCATAGTGATTTTCTTTCCTTCAATATTTTTATTATATTCCTTAATAACATTTTTTTCATTTCTCTAGGGACAGTTGACTGGTGACTTGACTTATTGATGTTAGGACCTCTCAGAAGTAGTGTAGGGATTTTTGCTTCCTCCTGCCAAATACTTCACTGCAACATATCCTGTTTGCCAGATATAAAACATATTCTTCTCAGCATTGCACAGATGTTAAATATTTCCATGTTATATCTGCAGACTACATAGTAAATTATATATTTATTATGTAGCCTATTACCTAATAGTTCAAAGGTTTGGGATATATATGCCTGTAATACATTTGATACCATAATTATTTAGGGTGTGCTTATGACAAACGGTACATAGTCAGTGATTCAATTGGCCTACTGCCCAATTTTTATAAAATCTTCACTTAATTTTGAGAATTGATCTGTAGAAACCTGATATGGCTACATAAGCAGATCATGTAGATGATTCCATAGGTATTTGGCCTTCCTAGTAATACTTTTATACTTTTATGTTCACTAGTTGAGCCTTGCTTATTAAGGTCTTACCTTTCCATCATTATGCAAAGTGAAACATCTTTGCTAGTATTATTCTATATTAAGAAATAGTAAGAAAATTACCTGTAGGCTATGGTGAAACATGTTTTTATTTCTTTGTGATTTCAGTTGCTAATAAACACAACTGTTACATAGCTGTAAATTCCCTGTAAGTGCCATTATAGCTCTGCCTTTTTTTGTGGCATTTCTTCTAAAGAAAAAGGAGTTACAAAGCCAAATGTCTTGCCTTCATCTGGAGCATTTTAATTAGTGCTATATTATGCTGACATATTTTTGGTAAAGCAGACTGCAGTAACTTATGACTGAATGATCATACTCCCCTTTGTTTACAGCCTTGTACTTCCTGAAAAGTTGGAATATATTGTAAGCAAGTATGCTGAACATTCCCATGATAAATGGGCTTTTGACAAGGTAGGAATTATTTTAAGACTGGCAGCTGTCATAAAAGGACTAGAAAACAATAGCAGGGGTGAATACTGAAAGAAAAGCTGGACAGTTTAATTGGTAGGCCCTTTTTCAGAGTCAGTGAATGCCTACATAAGTATTTATGGATGTGTGAAAGAAACCTTTTGTTCAGGAAAATGCATTGAAATTTGTCACTTTTTCAAAGAATTTATTGGGACAAAGTTTTGAGGGGACTGAAAAAGGGACATTTGGTTTGGGTTTTGTTGGGTTTTTTGTTGTTTTTTCAGGGACTTTGGTGTTTCTTGTTTTCTTTTTCTTTTTAAATAAGAGTACATAGATCTTGGCTCCATTTTGCCTGGTAATGGTGATCTTGGACTGGGAGTCAGAGGTTCAATTTTACTGCAGCAGCTCCATGACCTAAGAAAGTGCCTGGGAAGGCTAACGTCCTTTTTTTTTTATTTCGTAAAAAGTAGTTATAGCTTTTATCTCCTTTTCACTTTAAGAAGACCGCTATGGATTGATTTTCTCTATAATTTCCAAATGATCTGTCACTCTGTGGTGTTGCTGTTTCTCTACTTTAACAGAGCCTTAAGACAAGATAATATATAAGAGATTTTTTGTCTTTTAAATGTTACAGTGACACTTTTAATAAAGGCCTTTTTAGTGTTACTACTTTGCAAATCAGTTCTAATGTTGATAAATATAACTTTTAGAATTCTATTTAAGCAAAATTAAGTTTGATGGAGTTGTTACATTTTGGTAACTATATTGGTAGTGTTTGGATATGAATCACAAATTCAGCCCAAGTACGAATTTTAAAATTCTTTCATTCAAGGAAAAAATAGAAGTAGGATTAAGAAATTTATTATCATAATATTATATTTATAACAAA